CCGAGCGCATGACCGGGGAGCTGGCAGACTGTCCTCACGGACCAGACCTTAGCTGAGAGGGCACCTCCGACGCTCAGCCACCAGTAGCTGTGTATCTCTCAGCTGAGCCTGGAGTTGAGGCTCGGGCCGTCACGGGAGGGGAGCACGGTTTCATCGGAACTGTCGCGCAGACAGGAGCGGCAGCACGCGCCAGCGCGGTGGCAGGGGTCGAGTTGCGATGGCCTATGCGTTGAACAGAGGAGTACTGGCTCCTCTCTGCCTAGAGTTTGTGCAGTGGCAGTGTGGAGCCGCGGCATGCCGCCCGCTCAGACCAGCCGCAGTGACTGCGCCGCGAGCGCCGCGAGCGTGTCCAGGCTGACAGACAGGCGCAGGCAGCGAGGGCCGAGCGCAGGCGCAGCGGCGCACGCAGCGAGGCACCTGTCAAGCAAGATCCGCACGCCGGGAGCGTCGCTCGGCGTTCGTTCAATTGAGGCGCGCCAGATCCTCGCGAGATTCTCTGATGACGCAAGCTTTCCTACATATCTATTTTTGTACTCTCTGCTGTACTTTGGGGACGTTATATATTGTAAGTACCCGTCCTCAAAGTACAGAAGAGAGTACAGATTTCCCCTCTGCGAAGCCTGCCTTTACATAGTAAAAAAGAAAAGCAGCGCTTTTCCCCTCTTCACGCCCTCACACAGGCCAAAGTTGGACCCGCGCGAGATCGCCCCCTCGCGCCGTCCGTCGGGCCCGAGCTGTATGTCTGTGCCAGAGGCCTCTCCCGCCCATCGATCGCCTCTGGGCTGACTCGTGCGAGCGGTTCTCCGTGTATCGATGGTGGCCAGTAGCCGGCACTGGTTTGCCGGAGGTTGCAGCACACGATGGCTGTGACGCGACAGATACCCCTCGGTGCTGCTGAGCGGGTGCCCGACGCGTGTGCGTGGACGAATTCGACCCGCGAGGAATCATTCGAGCCGTTGGTAGCGCACCACCTCCGACTGGACACGTCATCTGGCCCTGCGTTGAGGCTGCTGCGCACGCATACCGCCAGGGTGCTCACCACGCAGATGCCAGAGACGCGCCGATTGCGGCTGCCTCGCTTGCACACGTGTCCACAGACCTCTCCGGTTGACCACTCGGAGATCGGCAAGGCGCGAATTCGCATTTCGGTTCTTCCTCAGAGACAGAAGGCCCACTCGGCATGCTGCGAGGCAACGCCATCATGTGGCATAAAAGTGCATTCCCTGCCACAGAGAGCCACTCGGTGCAGCCGCGCAGCGGGCTCGTGGCATCACCCGTTCCATGTGGAGTGCACGAGGTGCTCGGCGACGGGTGCAGCCCTGATGCGAGTCGTGCTGGCATGCTTACGCTGTGCGCCAAAGGCTCGCCACCGCCAGGGTCACAAACCTGATCCGCAACGCGATTGTGGCCCTGGTAGGGTGGCTTCCTCGATGGCTTGTGACCACGGCGAGCGAACATTTAGCGACCGGCTGCGCAGCCCGACGCCGACTTGGCTCACGGGACCCACAAAGCAGCTATCGCGCAGCGCCCGTCGCTGCACGTAGACACTAAACACTGGATACGTCCAACGGCGTCCAACTTGGTAAAATTCGGTCCAGCTGATTAACCCTGGTACGTGGACAAAAGTATGCGTTTTTCGGCCTCCCCTCCCTAACATTAGCCGGCCAAAATGTGCTCCTACCGGCTAATATTAGGGAGGGGGGGGCGGTCGGGTGTCAGACCTAGCGCTAGGCGTGCGAGGCTGACGTATTTTGGACAATCCACCTACCACGCTCAGACCAGCCGCAGTGACTGCGCCGCGAGCGCCGCGAGCGTGTCCAGGCTGACAGACAGGCGCAGGCAGCGAGGGCCGAGCGCAGGCGCAGCGGCGCACGCAGCGAGGCACCTGTCAAGCAAGATCCGCACGCCGGGAGCGTCGCTCGGCGTTCGTTCAATTGAGGCGCGCCAGATCCTCGCGAGATTCTCTGATGACGCAAGCTTTCCTACATATCTATTTTTGTACTCTCTGCTGTACTTTGGGGACGTTATATATTGTAAGTACCCGTCCTCAAAGTACAGAAGAGAGTACAGATTTCCCCTCTGCGAAGCCTGCCTTTACATAGTAAAAAAGAAAAGCAGCGCTTTTCCCCTCTTCACGCCCTCACACAGGCCAAAGTTGGACCCGCGCGAGATCGCCCCCTCGCGCCGTCCGTCGGGCCCGAGCTGTATGTCTGTGCCAGAGGCCTCTCCCGCCCATCGATCGCCTCTGGGCTGACTCGTGCGAGCGGTTCTCCGTGTATCGATGGTGGCCAGTAGCCGGCACTGGTTTGCCGGAGGTTGCAGCACACGATGGCTGTGACGCGACAGATACCCCTCGGTGCTGCTGAGCGGGTGCCCGACGCGTGTGCGTGGACGAATTCGACCCGCGAGGAATCATTCGAGCCGTTGGTAGCGCACCACCTCCGACTGGACACGTCATCTGGCCCTGCGTTGAGGCTGCTGCGCACGCATACCGCCAGGGTGCTCACCACGCAGATGCCAGAGACGCGCCGATTGCGGCTGCCTCGCTTGCACACGTGTCCACAGACCTCTCCGGTTGACCACTCGGAGATCGGCAAGGCGCGAATTCGCATTTCGGTTCTTCCTCAGAGACAGAAGGCCCACTCGGCATGCTGCGAGGCAACGCCATCATGTGGCATAAAAGTGCATTCCCTGCCACAGAGAGCCACTCGGTGCAGCCGCGCAGCGGGCTCGTGGCATCACCCGTTCCATGTGGAGTGCACGAGGTGCTCGGCGACGGGTGCAGCCCTGATGCGAGTCGTGCTGGCATGCTTACGCTGTGCGCCAAAGGCTCGCCACCGCCAGGGTCACAAACCTGATCCGCAACGCGATTGTGGCCCTGGTAGGGTGGCTTCCTCGATGGCTTGTGACCACGGCGAGCGAACATTTAGCGACCGGCTGCGCAGCCCGACGCCGACTTGGCTCACGGGACCCACAAAGCAGCTATCGCGCAGCGCCCGTCGCTGCACGTAGACACTAAACACTGGATACGTCCAACGGCGTCCAACTTGGTAAAATTCGGTCCAGCTGATTAACCCTGGTACGTGGACAAAAGTATGCGTTTTTCGGCCTCCCCTCCCTAACATTAGCCGGCCAAAATGTGCTCCTACCGGCTAATATTAGGGAGGGGGGGGCGGTCGGGTGTCAGACCTAGCGCTAGGCGTGCGAGGCTGACGTATTTTGGACAATCCACCTACCAGGGTTAATAGTGCTCCCCGCGATCCGCCGACGAAAGCTGCGTCAGACAACCACCACAGCCACGTGCATTTGCTTGCAACCGGATGTTGCAGACGAGTCTGCCAACGGTACGCTCAGAGCTGGGGCCCACGACCACCCTCCCCGCGCTGTTCGAGTGGCGATTCTCGCCCTCCACGCATTTGAGCGCCTCGCGGCACCCAGCGTCAATCTATCTGAGCCCGGGTCACGGTCCGAGCAGTTTGCTCAGTCAGCACATCAAAAACGGATCGCAGAGATTCAACCACACGATCGTCGCCGTGGGCGGCTCTGATCGCCGCCTTTCTCAGGCGGCCCACTTCGGACTGCATGTCGACGTTCTGCTGAGGACGTTTCGCATCGTGTATTGGGAAACCATTGACCACGTCGTCCCCGGCCTCCGACCACTACCCACACTGTTCACCGACCGATACCTCCGCGACGCTGGCCCGTCGGTGGCGGAGGCGATGCGTGGCGCGAGCCTCGACGACACGTCAAAGCCGCTCTGGCTCTTTGCGTCCTGGGGCCGCTACCAGCCGCAGCTGGATCGCAGCCCGAACTGCCGAGATCGGCAGGCAGCCGTGAGGTGGCTGCAAGGCATGGCGAACGCCTCGTGGATCTCAAAGGGCAAACGGAGTCCGAAAGAGTACTGGCCCATCCTCGCGCGCCACCGATTCGCGCTCTCCCCCTCGGGGCTCGGCATCCAGAGTCCAAAGACCTACGAGGCGCTCGCAGTGCTGACGATCCCCATCTGCCACCGGACCAACCTGGCGTACGCGCAGCTGGCCGCCGAGGGGTGGCCGATTGTCCTGGTCGACAGTTGGGAGCACGTCACGATTGCAAACATGCAGCGCTGGTGGGCATCTCTCGCCCACAAGCTGAGGGGAGCGCGTTCGTGCTTTGCCGACAAGGGCCGCATGTACCGGATGCTCGTCTCCGGGGAGACGATGGGCTCCTGCATCCAAACGGCAGAGCACCTGCATCTGAGGCCGTCTCATGATACAAGAGAAGGCGCCCGCCTCGCTGCTTCTCCGGGGCGTAGGCGGCGATAGCAACAACAGAGAGCACACACATTCCCCTCTGGGGGACATACACACCGACCGGATACTTACAACTTAGTTCGCATACTCCATGGCCATCGGCTGCATGTGTCCATGTGCACCATTGCTGAGTCTGAGGCATCACCAGGTCACACACCCACAGCTGGTCTCTGGTCAGCTCTCCGCAAGACGGACCACACACACACACACCTCCCGCGTCGTCCACCGGGCACGTAAAAATAAAAACGGTCAAACTCTGAGACGAGATGGGATTTAGGGACATGTGTCCCCGCCCTGCACGATCTTGGTGTGAGGGATCTTCAATCCGTCCCCTCACCCCTGGTCACTACCCGACACTAGAAGAGCAGCAAGAGTTGGGGCTGCGGCTACGGCGGCGGCTGCGGGAGGGGCTAGAGTATGCGGTCGCGGGAGAGCCGCTGCGCCGCGTGGGCGCGCCTACACCGCGCTTGCTCCGCTCGCCACCTCTCGCAAAGGTTCAAAGTCATAGCCATCACCTCCTCCGGCAAGTCCTTTTCGCCTATCTCGCCGTCCCTCCATGCCTGGTATAGAGCTCGTCGTCATAGCCATATAATGATTTAATGCCATATTGAATTCGATATTGTTAAAGCCGTATATTGCGGGGAATGCACGCGACACGCGAGACGGAGTTTATTTATATTCGTGGAGCTCCGCGTTGTGTCGTATATTCAAAAGCTTTGAGGGAGAGACAAGGCGGTCAACGTAGTACGCCAGGCACGTCGGAGGGTACTCGAAACGGAGACGCGCTACATGAAATCGAAATCGTCGTTCGCCCGCCAGCCCCCGCCTCCGCCATCGCCCTCGAGCCCTCCAAAGTCGTTGTCCACGTCCTTGCCCATGGCGATCTTGATCTTGCCCTTGGTCTTCTTGCCCTTCTTGTCCTTGTCGCGGTCCGCCTTGACCTTGTCGTTGTACAGCACCGACGCAAAGGTCGAGAGCTCCTTTGCCTCGTCGGTCGACATGCCCGCTGCCGCCTTGCGCAGCAGGCACTTGAGCACGCTCATGTGGCCGGTCTTGCCCTCGTACGGGCGCAACCGCTCCGCCAGCGACTCGGCCAGCTTTTCGTAGTCCTTCTCGCTCTTCGCCACAAAGTCCGCGCCCAGGTCGCCAACCTTTGGCGCCGGCCGCACCGCCTCGGACGGCTTGGCGGCGGCGGGCTTGGCGGCGGCGGGTTTGTTCGGCGGTTTGGCCGCGGGCGCGGGCGCGGGCGCGGGCGTGCCGACACTCGTCTCCGCCATGTCGAGGCCGAACGCCGCCGCCGCGTTGTCAAAGTCGGACGCCTCCTGCTGCAGCTTCCTCAGCGCGCGCTCGCGCGCTTCGCCGGTGAGGCTCGGGTCGATCTCGGTCGAGACGCCCGCCCTCTCCCGCAGCGCCGCCATCCGCGCCGCCTCCTCTGCCTCGCGCGCCTCGCGCGCCTCGATCTTCTTCTCCAGCTCGGTCTTCTCACGCGGCGCCGCCCGCGGGGCGGCCACCGGCACGCTCGCCGGCTCCGCCTTGTCCGGGTCGTGCGCCTCCTCGTCGGACCACTCTGCCTTGTCCTCCTCGCCCTTCTGCGGCAGGGACAGGTCCGCCGCCTCCCAGTCGTCCTCGCTGTCGTCCCAGGCCATGCCCTCGTGGGAATGGTTACGCCGCCGCGCAGTCTCCTGAGCCAGGCAGCTGTGAATAGCACGTATTTTCTTCTCAATAACAAGCCTGGTGTAGAGCAAGCCTGCTCTAGCCTCGCATGTCACTTCCTGTCGTCTGTTGTGTCGTTGTGCCCTTGTTTGTACTCTTGGCACCGTGGAGTGCTGGGGGGGGCGACAGGGAGGATATGGCCTTGAGTTATGTGTAAGCCGACTCAGGGTGTGTGGCAGCCCGCTGGCTGTGTGTCTTGTGAGCTTGTTTGTGTCTGTGTGTCGCTCGTGCGTGCCGTCATCATCTGTCCAGCGTCCACCCATACCGCGTTGGTGTCCAGTCCGAGCCTGGCTGTTCTTCACCTTTCTACCTACCTACCTACCTGGTGTTAATTATTAATAGTCTGTATTCCAGAATTCCGTTGGGGGGAGGTATTCAGTCGGGGGCATTAATAATCGTCGGGCGGGGGCGCGGCGCGGCGGCGGGCGGGGCGGCGCGGCGCGCGGGGCGGCGAGACCATCTGTACTGAACGGGCCAGCTAGCCAGGGTTGGTGGACTAACATTAGCACACCTCCAGGGGCAGCACTGACTACAGATCGTGCCAACACTTGGCGCAAAGGTCGGTGTTAGCACAGTCGAACGGCAGTCCCAAAACAAGCGTTAGCACAGCCGTTAGCACGGTGTTGGCACACCCTCCGGGTAAAACCCGGGTATACCTGCAAAAAACCAGGTATACCCGAGAAATACCTAGGTCCGCGTCAATGTGCCGCGCGCGCCCACTCCCAGGGCCCCTGCGCCAACTGCGGCTCGCACCGCCTGCTCAAGTACGCGCACCGCACCATGTGCGCTCGCTACAAGTGCTAAAGGCAGCATCGGCGCTGCGCCAGGCGCGGCTGGCAGGTGGCGGTGCGGACGATGCGGTCGTGCCGACATTCTGCTTCAAGATTGAGGCAGTGCTCGGCATGCGCTTCTGCGAGCCCGAGCAGCTCATCGCAACGAAGCGGCGCAACAGGCTGGCTGCTGCCGACAAGGCCGTGTGCTACCTCACGCGAGGCACCTTCAAAGAGGACAGCAATGACGCTGGATTCACCGACACGCGCTGGGTGGAGCTCGAGGAGCTGTACGAGAACTGTGGCAAGACGCCACTGAAGAATGCGCTCAAGAAGTACCGAAAGGCGGAAGAGGAGGATGTGGATGCGGCGATTGCCGACTTTGAGGAGGGCGTCGAGCACGAGGGATAATCATAAATAGGCGCATTTGGGATGCGGATGGCTGGGGACGCCCATGGGACATGTTCGCAATCGCAGCTGCAGGTGTGAAGTGAATATGACCAGATGCGCGTTCTTTACAACTAAAACCAAGGGCAGCAACAGCCCCTCCCCTCCCCAGACAGACGGGTCCAAGGTAGATGACTCACGCACACAACGAGACGAGCGCGCCGTACACCAACCCCGACACACGCACCTCTCTAGAGGCAGTCCTCCGCCTTGTGCTCATACTTGATGGGTGCGGCGGCCGGGTGGGCCTGGCGACCGCGCTTGCTGCCCTTGACGAGCTGCCGCCCTCGCCGCCGCCCTCGCCGCCGCCGCCCTCGCCGCCGCCCGCCCTCGCCGCCACTCTCGCCGCCGCCCTTGCCACCGCCCTCCTCGCCGCCAGCCTCCTTGCCGCCGCCACCCTGGCCCGGGGGCTCCTCAGGCGAGTCGACCCGCTGGCGGAGCGGCAGGGCGCCCTCGCTGCGCACGCCGCTGGCGTTGTACGCCTCGAGGCAGGGCTTGCCGCAGAAGTACTCGCCTTCTTGAGGCATCCACACCATATCGCACGCCACCCACGAGTGCACCGGCAGTTTGCATTGCTTGCAGCTGTGTGCCGCTGCATTCTGGTGCTCGAAGACCAGCTTGCATGCAGCACAAGCACGCGGCTCGTCGTTGCCGTTCATCGCGCTGCGGCCAGTCTCAGCACCGCCCAGCGAGCGCGTGGGCGTGTGGTCGCGTGACAACTCTGGACTCTGGTAGCGCTCCTTCAAAGAATTCGCGCCTAGCCTCCCCACCCCTCTAACGGAGCGTGCCAACACCTCCCGAGTGGCAGTGTTAGCACGTTCTAACACCTCTGCGGCTGTGGTGTTAACCGTTAACGTACCAACACCGTTCTAACATTAGTCCACCAACCCTGCAGCTAGCTGGTCTTTGAGTCAGGGCAATGGTCGCGCCGCCCTCGACTCACGGGGCTGCCTTCCACCCGTCGCTGCTCAGGCCGGGGGAGGCGGGGAGGGGGGGCGGGGGGAGACCTCCTGTTCCGCGGATCGCGAGCACAGGCCCCTCCTTGCCCGGTCTGCGAAGCAGGACGGTGGTCGTGCCATCTTCGCCGTCGTACTCGAAACCACCACGCCGCAACCGTCGCCGGCGCGCGACACGTTCCCGTAGGCCGGACTGTCCTCGTCGAGAGTGTGTGCCGCCAAGGCAGGACACACTCAGGGGCAGTGCCGACGCGCCACCCGCCCGTGTGCTGCTGCAGCCGCCTCCGCCGCCGCCGCCTGCCTCCGCAGCGCCCTCGCGCCAGCGGACAAAAGCAGTCATATCTCATGAGCTGCCTTTCCAGAGCGCACAAGACTGCATGGCTCTTGTGGCACGGTCGTTGGACCAGCGTTCGAGCCGGCGCTGTTATGCTGCAACCCTTTTTTTTCCTGGGATCCTGGCTCACAAGCTAAAGATGTTCACGGGCCCCCACACGCATGGGGACCCGGGTACTCTTTAGCTGTACTCGTCTAGGCAGGGGTTGGTTATGCTGCCAGTTCGAATCCCGCTGGTCGCATCCCTCGCGGAGCGACGCGGAGCGCGCGCACGCGTGCGCGGATGCGCCAATGCTCCAACAGCGACAGCAACAGCGACAGCGACAGCGACAGCGACAGCGACAGCGACAACTGTCTTTTTACGCCTCGACGCGGTCCACACTAAGTTTCAGAGTGTCGACCACAAGAATTGGGCCAAAAAAAAGGCGTCGGTAATAAGCTGATGGCTAAGTTTCAGAAGTTGTCGACAACTAAGAACTGGGCAAAAAAAAGGCAAGAAGCTGATGGCCTCGCGGCCACAACCTCATCCACTGGTCGAGAACCAGGTTGAATGGGCCTATTCGCCAAGGCGAAGTCGGCCGCCGCCCCGCCTGCGGCCGGCACAGTGCTCGCCGCCCCACGCGGGGCGGCCGGAGGGCCGCCCGCGGCGCCCGCGGCGGCGCCCGTCAAGCCGCGCCCCTCCACGCCCACCACAACCAGCGGCTCTACGGCCGGGACGTCGATCGGCTCGACAAGCAGCGCCGGGAGCCTCGTCGAGGGCTCTGATGCGGGGAAGCCGAGTGCGCTGAGCGCGTCGTCGCTCAAGCTGCGCGCGCAAGCGGTGCGGCTCGGGCTGCCGCCGCAGCTGCTCGTCGCGCCCTGCTCCGAGAGGGTCGAGATTGACCTGCTCGAGGACACGGTTCCGCTCGGCAGCGGCGAGTTCTGCACCGCCCACTCGGCGAGACTGCGGGGGGAGCGAGTCGCGCTCAAGATGCTGCGGCCTGCGCGCGAGTCGTCCGAGCTCGCGATCTCGGACCTCCGCAGGGAGATCGCCGTCCTGTCCCAGATGTGCCAAAACGGCGGCGGACACCCGAACATTGCGCGCGCGGCTTGCGCGGTCTGCCCCTCCTCTGCACCGCCTCTGAAGTTGACGCACTTGGCAGGTGCGGCTGGTGGCGCACGGGTACACGCCGACCGGCTCGCCCTTCTGCGCGCTCGAGCTCTTCCAGGAGCCGCTCAGCGCCGCGCTACCGACCAGCAAGGCGCAGCGCAAGCTCTGGCCGGCCAAGCGCGGCGTGAGCATCGGGCTCCAGCTCGCGAGGGCGCTTCACTACTGCCACGACAGGCGCGAGACTAGCCGAGACTAGCCGAGACTAGCCGAGACTAGCCGAGACTAGCCGAGGCTCGCCGAGACTCGCCGAGAGTGCACGCTTGCCAGGGGCCCCCGGGCAGCTCCGCTGGACGCGCGGCTTGCGCCGAGCGCCCCCCCCCCCCCCCCCCGCTCCCGCTTCTGAGCCTTCTCGCAGCCCTCCCCGCAGGCCGCATCGTCCTCGCCGACTTCGGGCTGCTCAAGATCTGGAAGCGGGGCGAGGACGACACAGAGCGGCGCCAGCTGACCGGCCTGACCGGCCCCCTCCCGCTGCGTGGCTGCCGAGGCGTGAAGAGCGGCGTCCTCTCACGGCTGCAGCTGTGAACAGGCTCGCTCCGGTACATGGCGCCCGAGGTTGCCCTCTCGCAGCCGTACAACCACAAGGCGGAGGTCTTCTCCTTCACCTCGCTGCTCTACCATGTCCTCTCCCTCGAGAAGCCGTTCGCCGCCATGGACGCAAAGGCTTTCGTCACCGAGGCGTGCGCCGCAAAGGGAAACCGCCGCTCGGTGTCCCGCTCCTTCCAGCTTCACGACTCGCGCCCTCCTTTTCCAGGCGTGCCACAAGGGCAGGCGCTGCCCGCTGGCAAAGGCGCGGCCAGCCCGAAGCACTCAGTACTGCCGATTCCCGTCGCGAGCTCAGCCGCTGCTCGGGTTAGGCGTGGCCGGCGAAGCTCCGCCGCCTGATGACGGAGGGTTGGGCCGCCGACCCGACCGACCGACCCGACTTCGAGGAGGCCGTGCGCGTGCTCGAGGCGCTCTGACGCGGTGCCGCGGCATTTCTGCGACCTTTTTCCACCCCCCCCCCCCCTCCTCCCGCCGTGGCTGCCCCCCTCGAGGCCTTTCCGCCGCGGGCCTGCCGTGCCGTACGAATATGATCGCGCATCTCGTGTGTCACACGTATCTCGTGTGACTGTTGTGTTGCAGCACTGTTGAGTGTTGTGTTGATTAGGTCCAGCCCTCGCTGGGTGGCACGGGTTGTGACATTTGGCGATTCCGCGGCTTACTGGGCCCCTGAGCCGCTCCCGTGTTGGCCCAGGCATGGTACTGATAGTAGACGGTTCAGAACCGGCCAAACACAGGCTACAGCCCCACACACGCGCCCGCCATAGGCCGATAGCTCCACTGCGTCCTGGAGACAGGAGAGATGTGTGAGGACGCGCAAAAGTCAAACAAAACAAAAGCCGCGAGAGTCGCATCAAAGAGGCAGGAACGACGTGCTCTTGCTGCACCTCGCAGCTGCACCGAGTGTGCTCGCAGTGTATGCTACGGCCGCCGCCTACTGGCATTGCTCTCGGCGTGCAGCTAGGCGACGCAGGTCCATCAGCAGGGCTCATCCAATGCGAGCGCACATTGTGCGTAGCCGCGGGCAGGTGTGGCAGTGCACAGCCGCACACCGGCTCTGGCGGCTCGTATGCCCCCGGCAGTGCTGCTAGTCATTAACTTGCGTAATGGGGCCGCAGCAGGCTGCTGCTGTGGCAGCAGCAGCAGCCTGCTGCTGCCTGATTCAGTCAAGCCAGCGGCGCAGCGAGGCGTGCAGAATTCGCGTGGTTTTGTCCCTCGGCCTCCCTCCTGAGGCTGAGCGCATTCGAGCCCATCGACCGGAGTTGGATGGTACCACGCTTCTCCCTGTCATGCGTTACCCAAATGCGCCCGCCGTTTTTCGTCATACCCCCCCCCTCCGAAACCCGCCGACTTTGATTGGGTCCGGTTCAACCTCACTCCCATCTCTATACTTTCAGATACAAAACGTCAGATCTGTGCCACCCTGGGCTGGACCTAGTCTCGTGTTGCAGGCTTGCAGCGCACGTGCTGTGGTCTCGAGTCCTCAGCAGTCAGCACATGCTTCTATCTCTAGCGCACTGTAGTCTGTGTACACCTCTGTGTGTGACGTCTGACGACTCCCCCGCTCTCCGCACTCCCCGGTCTCCGCTCGCGAGACGCGACGCGCGAGACCCGAGAGACGAGAGAGTCTCAAAATTTTGAACGAGACCGCAAGAGTTGCGGCTGCGGGCTGGGGCCGGTGGCCTCCATCAACCGTATCAAGGCGGGCATCCAGCGGCAGCGCCTTCGCGACGCCCGACGCATGCGCGATGCGGCACCGCGTGGAGATACGTGCTGCCACCCCACCTCGATCCTCGTGCTCGAGTGTATCGTTGAGGAGCCCTTGCCCGCGGCGGCGGGAGCCTAGCCCGCAGCAGCGCTCGTGCACGCTCAATCCCCCTTTTCTCTCCCAGCTGTCGCCGGCCGGGTCGATGGCGTCATGGAGAAGCAAGTGCTTCCCACGAGCACCGCCGCGGCTCCGGCCCAGAGCGTGGGCGACGAGCGAAGCGAGGTGTCGGGCGAGAGCAGGAGCACAGAGGCGACGAATGCGAGGAACTTTTGGAGCGTGAGAACGAGGGTGGTGTGGAGCGCGCCGGAGCGCTCAATCAGTCGCGTGCAGATTAGCTTGCAGCAATAATCAAAGACGAGGTTTGCCGCCAGGAGCACCCACATGCCCGGCCATTGAACGCCACCAACGTGAGGGCCGGACCAGCTGGAGGCATGCTCGAGGGCGCGTCCACCACCGCGCAGCAAGAGGATGGGCAAGCCGAGGATGTTGCGAAAGAATATCATCTCCTCTGCGCTGGCGCGCGTGCCGCCTGGGAGGCGCGCAAACGCCCGCTCCTGCATGCAGCCCGTGACGGCGCGCAGCAGCAGCGCCACCGGAAGCAGCGCCACCCCTGTCCAGAGCCCTCCAGCCACGTCGCTGCGTGTTGGCGCTGACGCCCCTGCTGTCCCAGACATGGCCGTGAGCACCAAGCCGACGCTGGTGAGGCCGATGCTGAGCAGCTGCGGAGCAGAGTAGCGCCTGCCGAGGAGGAGGGTGCCGACCACGGCGTTTGCCACGAGCGAGCCATTCTTGAGGGTCGTGATCACCACGACGGGAAGCGGCGACGCGAGGGCCTGGTTGAGCAGCAGCGGGTAGCAGACGGTGATGAGTGCCAGCAGCAGGTGCGTCTGCACCGGCACCGTCCACTCGGGCTGCCGCAGCGCGGTTGGGGCAGCGAGCAAGAGGCCAAACGTGGCTTCGCTGGTCGAGATCAGCCCTCCGCAGCCCCTGTCTACCGAGTTGAGGGCGTCGTACGGCCACTGGCACAGGCAGGCGCAGAGCACGAGCGCCCCGGAGAGCAGCAGGGAGCCGGAGAGCCAGGACGAGGTCGCCGCCTCCTCCGCCGCCACCTCTGCCTCGTCGGCCACCGCGGACTGCGGCTCCTTCTCCATTGCAAACGCCCGCCGCAGCCTCCCGCCGCTGGGAAGGGGCGAGGAGAGGCGCTGCGTGGCCCGCAGAAAGGCAGGCGACGGCACCAGCTCGTGCCGCCCATCCAGCAGGTCGACGGCCAGTGCCGCCGCCCGACGCCACCGCTCCCACGCCTCGCCATGCAGGCTCCCCAGCTCGCCGCGGCTCTCGGAGCCGATCACAGAGGTGGCGTGGAGGAGCGTGGGCGGCGGCGGCTTCCGCCGCGCCTGGGGTACGAGACCCACGGAGTGGCTGTGGCGGAGCATTGGCCAGCCCTCGCTGGGCGACCCAAATGGCGACGCCCAGCGCGTCGGCCGGCGCGTCGTACGTCCTTTCGAAGTTCAGCGGGAAGAACTCTTGCCGAAAGTTAAGGCGTGGTCGACGTTCCGCGCTGTGTGTCGCGCCTGAGCTCGCCCTTGCCGCTCGAGGCTACCCGGGAACCACAGACAGCATCAAAGGACACGCTAGATGTGCTTGTGACTGACGCGTCTCTCGTGAACGTGATTGATCGCGGCCGGCACGAGCAGTGCTGTGTGCGGCGCTCGCCAATGGCGATTGTGCTGGACGGCGGACGGTGTGGTTGCTCAGATGGCCTTATGACGACCCCATTTCGACATCGTCCCTAAGACAGGTACCCATGAGCTCCATCCATGGGCCATGCGGGAATGACTGGCTCAACCAATTGATCACAAATTCCCTCGGTGCTCACATCGAGGTCGTCAAATTATGCTGTCACGAGGAAGAATTTTACCGTTTTGAGAGATTTTGTGGGAATTTGTGATCAGTTTCGGTTGAGCCAGTCATTCCCGCATGCCGCATGGAGCTCATGGGTACCTGTCTTAGGAACGATGTCGAAATGGGGTCGTCATAAGGCCATCTTAGTGGCTACACGGCCTGCCACGGGTTGTGAGCCGCGACTCTGGACGACTCTGAACCGGCGCTTGATGCGGGCGTAGCTTGCGATCCCGACCTTGCGCGATGAGCCTCTTGATGCATTCTACATGTACCATCTACTCGCACACGGCAAGCATGGCGACGCCTCACGCCCCATGCCGGCCATCCAAGATATGCGCGCGCCAAGGGTTTGCTACCACCTTAAACAAAACAACGGAGGGAAGAATTTCCTTGTCGTACTACTTTTAGCTTACTGGGAGAAAAGGGAGAGGGGGGTATGTGGCTCTTACGTACATTCCCGGACGGAGGAGGACTGCTGACGGGGTTTGCGATGAGGGAGCGTCGAGCGATCCGAACGTGGCATTTGGGTGATCAGATCACTCCGACCGCCGAAACGCAAGAGCACTGCGACGCATCGGGCTCATGCTAGCATCCACCTCGCGGGCCGATCTTCTTGCCCAGCGAGGCTGCCGCTGCGGGGACACCCGCGGCGGCTCGGTTCGCTCCTCAACGCACAACGCAAACTCGGTCGAGCAGAATTTCACCACGAAACTCCCTCTCACGACAACACGGGGCACGGGACTGGCGCGCACTGGCACTAACACAGGTACACCGCGAAAGGAAAGAAACACTTGGGGGCAACCAAGGTCTGATAAAGAGAAAGATAGCCATATTTAAAGAAACACATGGATTTAAGAGGAAAAAGAAAGAAAGAAAACGGACAACCCAAGGGAGGGATGGGAGGACGGCACGGCTTAAGAGAGACCCTGACCACGCAGAGCTTTTTTCTTTTTCTCAAATTGCCGAGCTTAGGAATCCCTCTACGCGAGACTAGAGTGGGGTCTCACGCCCTTACTAGAGGCCTGCTCGCCGAGCTCTTGGCTCATGGATCATGACCCAGTCCGCCGCCCATCGCTGAGCATCGCGGACTTTGCCTTCTGTGGCATGCTCGGGGAGGGTCAGTTCGGCCGCGTCATGATGGCGAGGAACACCCGAACGCAGGACATCGTCGCAGGCAGCTACACACGACTGCCCTCACTGCCAGGCCGTCCCTTCCCTGTGCTAACTTTCGGTCTTCCCCTTCCCTGTGCAGTCAAAGTGCTGCGCAAGCAGTTCCTCGTCTCCAAGGGCGCCCGCACCATCTCTGCCGCCATCTCGGAGAAGCAGGTGCTGCAAGAGATGGCGTCGAAGCGCCACCCGTACATCGTCTCGCTGCTGCACTCCTTCCAGGACGAGGCGCACCTTTACCTCATCATGGACTTTGTCGGCGGCGGCGACCTCTTCTCTCTCATCGAGAAGAAGGGCCGCCTGCCCGAGGCGTGGGCCATCACTTACTCCGCGGAGATCGCGCTGGCGCTGGCGCACGTGCACTCGCACGGGATCGTGTACCGCGACCTCAAGCCGGAGAATGTGATGGTCTGCATCAGCGGCCACCTCAAGATGACCGACTTTGGGTTCGCCAAAAAGATGGAGGGAGCCGCGACGCGCGGCAGCTGCGTGGGCACGCCAGAGTACATGGCGCCGGAGCTGCTCAAGGGCGAGGTGTACGGCGTTGGAGTCGACTGGTCGCGCGCTGCCTGGCGCGAGGTTGCAGCCTCGGGCCATCTTGCGTGATCTCGGCGGCACCTGGCGGGTAGGTGGACGCTCGGCTGCCTGCTGTACGAGATGGTCGTCGGCCGAGGGCCGTACTCGAACGACGACCTGCAGCTTCTCGTCAAGGCGATCACGACGGAGGAGCCCGTCATCCCTTCCGGCGTCTCGCAGCCCTGCCGCGACGTGCTCGGTTGCTTTTTGCAGCGAGACACGCGGAGCCGTTCTCGGAAGCGTGGAACTTTCCCATAGGTCGTCGGCGGCTTGATGCAGCGAGACACGAGCGCGCGCTGGACCGGCGGCCGGCCGCGAGACGAGCTTTGCCGGCAGGTTGATTCGGAATGACTCCTTCTCAATCATTGCGACTTAGGCGATCGGCTGCGGGGCGAGCCTTTCTACCGCGAGCTCGATTGGGAGGCCCTCTACCGCATGGAGGCGCCTCCGCCCACCCTGTCCTTGTCCCTGACCCTGACCCAACCCCAACCTATGGAGGCTCTATACTCTGTCGCATGGAGGCTCTATACTCTGTCGCATGGAGGCTCGATACTCTGTCGCATGGAGGCTCGATACTCTGTCGCATGGAGGCTCGATACTCTGTCGCATGGAGGCTCGCCCCCACACTCCGGTCCAGGAGGGGAGCCTCCCGGAGCCTGCTCGGAACCTTCCTAGGTGCCTCCGCCCTACACGCCGGTCCAGGACGAGGCCGCCGCCTCCCGATTTGCGGTCGAGCTCTGCTCCACACAACAGTTGACCGACGCGATTACTTCGTAGGCCGCGCCTCTCGACTTGCGGTCGAGCGACTCGGCGGGCGCGGCGCGGCTACAGGCGGAGTTTGGCGGCGTCTGGTCGTCGGGCGAGGGGGGCGCGGGGGGCGTGGGAGGCGGCCAGGCAGCGAGCAGCAGCGGCGGCAGCAGCAGCTTCGGCAGCAGCGGCGGCAGCAGCGGCGGCAGCAGCGGCGGCAGCAGCGGCGGCAGCAGCGGCTGCTCCGGTGCCGTCAGTTCGAACCCGATGGTTGCCGAGCAGAGCGCGAATTTGGCGCTCTCGCTCGAGCTGACAGCGGAGGGGGACATCTGGCGGTGCTCCAACCCGCTCGCCCTCCTCCTCGGCACACCGCGAGGCCAGCGCCACCTCCTCTTTGGACTCCGTTTGCTGCAGCCGACGCGCGACACTCCGCCCTTTGTCGACCCGGAGACACTTGCCCCCTTCGCCGCCGCTTTCGAGGCGATGCTGCGACGGCTGCGGCACGAGTCGTCTCGCGCGGGCGCAGAGAGTCAGACTCCGACCGAGGGGCTGCTGCGCGTGCATGTGGGCCGCGACGAGCCGCTCCACTTGCGGTACTCGTTCGAAGAGACGACCCGGCTGACGGACCACTCGGTGGCGCTGCAGCCGATGCACGAGGGGCACGCGGCGGTGACGGTGCTCTTTACGGACGTGAGCGCGGGCGAGGCGGCCAAGGAGTTGGTGCGGAGGAGGTACGAGCTGAGCTACAACTTGCATGGCGAGCAGCGGATGCGCGGCGACGACGCGCAGGTTGCGGCGCTCGTTGGCTCGTTGTCCGTGTGGTGACATGTCGGTGAGGGAGGTGGTGGAGCGCCATGATCAGGTCGCGGCACTCTTCGGCGACGACTTCTCTTTCAACCGCGCCGGAACGCAGGCGCCGCTGCACGAGGGCAGCGCGAGCAGGTCCGGCCTCGCAAACCACCTCGAGACTGAGAGTGCACTCTGAGTCACGAGTCATTGATTGCTCAGGTCCGGCCTCGCAAACTACCTCGACCGGCGCGCGCTCTTCGTTCGAGCTTTCCCCGACATCCACTTTCAGATCCTCGAGCTCTCGGCGATGGGCGAGCGAGTCGTCACCTCCTTCCACTGGACCGGACCGCACACCCCGGACCGTGCCTCGCCCGGCCATTCGTTGAGCACTCACTCATGAATGGTCAGTACTAGGCACTCACACCGGCCCGTACCATGCCGAGATCGACGGCGAGTTCCGCGACATCTCCCCGACCGGCGCGCGGGTCTTCGTCTACGGCATCGCCAGCGACACCATCCGCGGCACCAAGATCGTCGACCACGCCGCCTACTACGACGCGGCGGCCATCGTGCGCCAGCTGCTGCCGAAGGGGTCCAAGGGTGAGGGTGCGCCACCGAGCCCCGCCAAGCGGCCGTCGACGGACTCGGACTTTGCCGAGGCGCGCGGGATTCCGACGAGCGACCAGGCCGACGAGACGGAGCGGGCGGCGAGGGAGCAGATGCAGCGTTTCTTCGCCGACAAGGCGCCGCAGCTCGAGATGAACCGAGATTGGCCACCGAGATTGGCCGAGACTACCCGAGATCAGTAGATGCAGCGATGCTTCGCCGATTGTGGCGCCGCAGCCCCCTCTCTGATTAATCGATACCCAATGACTGATCAGGTGCCGCAGCTCCTCGCGACGGCGAGCGACGTCGGCATCGCAATCTGCGGCAGCGGCGGAGAGGGCGAGGCGGCAGGCGAGGGCGGAGCTCTGCCGATCGCAGTCGGATGTGTGTCTTGCGCGCGGGTGCTCGGGGGCTGCAGTCGGCGGAGCAGTGCCTCGGCGTCTGTCTAGCCAGTTGAGCAATACTCCACTAGGCGCTGGGGCTGCAGTCGGCGGAAGAGTGCCTCGGCGTCTCCCTCGTGTCGCATTTGGGCGCCAGCGCTGCCGCGGACGTGCAGCCCGACGTGGCAGAGTGCCTCGCCGCGCTGGCCGGGGCCGCTAAGGCGGCACGTCCGGCACAGCTCCTGATCTTCGCGCGGCACCCGCTCGCAAGTGGGCTGACTGACGATCCTTGTGTTGGCTCAGGCGCAGCACTTGATCGCAACGCGGCGGGCGAGCGGAAGCACCGCTCTCTTACTGGCCAGCACAGCGCCGTTCGAGGTTGATGGGATGCGCCTGACCGCCGTGCTGCTCGTCGACGTGACTGCCGACCCGAGCTCGCCTCACGCCATCTCGGAGGCGGCTGCCGCGGTCTCGCACCCGTACTGCATGCGTGGTGCGCTGCTCCACGCCCCTCCCCGCCTCTTCACACTTCCGAATGATTCAGACCGCGCTCTCTCTCTCTCCAGGTGCGCTGCTCAACGGCCTCTCCTCGCGACCGGGCTCCGCCTACTCCCCTCTCCTCTACTCATTTCGCCAATCGACTGATTAGGCCTCTCGCGATCAGGCTCCGCCTCGGCCTTCTGCGCGCGCCTGCTGACCGCGGCGGTGCAGTGTTGGCGCGACGTGGGCTTCAGCCTCGCCGACAACGCCACGCCCAATAAGGCGATGGTGTGGGTGTCGGACGGCTTCGTCGCGATGACGGGGTGCTCACGCTCGCCGGTTGTAAACTGATCACCGGTGGGTCATGATTGAATGTTGAGTGTGTTAGGTACCGGCGCTCGCAGATCGTCGGCCGGAGCTGCAAGCGGCTGCAGTGCGAGGCGACGGACCCGCACTCCATCCTCCGCCTCGGCGAGGCCATACGCGCGGGCCGGGGGGAGCGGGTGACGCTCTGGAACGCCACCGCGAGCGGCGGAGGTTTTTGGAATTGCGTATCGGTGCATCCGAGCCGGAACGGGCGGTACTTTGTCGCGGCGCAGGTTCGCGTCGGCGCGGCCCTCAACCGACGGATGGCGGAGCTTTTGCGCTCGATCGACCGGAGCCGCCTTCTTGCCTCGGGCAAGAGAGGTTTGACGCTTGGTTCTAACTTGGGGAACTGCATGGGCCGCCTTCCATGACATGAGCGTTACTACGGCCCTTTAGAGCCTAGCGTATGGGCCCCGCTCCCGGATGGCGATATTGTACGTTGCATGACACGAGTGTAGAGCCGTGTAGCATGGGGAAGCAAAGCGGGGTGGAACTGGTGATAGCTGATAGCGTAAAGTGAAGCGTTCGTATCTCGCAGCTCGCGTGTTGTCTTTTTTCGTGTGACTGTGTGTTCTCTCTCTTTTACCTCTCGTGTCTCGACGAGAAAGGAGAATACACGCGACGCGATCGACTGGGAGGTGGGACTCCAACAAGTATGTTGGCGAACTATATACATTGCCGGAGCGCCAAGCTCCAAAACATCACACCAAGACGTGCAGGGCGGGGACACATGTCCCTAAATCCCATCTCGTCTCAGAGTTTGAGGTTTGACCGTTTATTTATTTATTTATTTATCCACTTTTTTGGAGGGATCGCCCCGGGCCGGCACGCGGCGGGTCTCACACACAATCGGGTGTCTCTCGGGCGCCGGCGTCTCTCCGTCGTGCCGCCCTAGGACGAGAGGACGCAGCGTCGAGTCAGCGCCAGTTTTAGACGTAGGCTTGGTTGTCGCACACGCCGCCGGAAAAGGAGCGGAACTTGTACATGTGGATCCAGTAGTTGACGCCTACGCGCCATGGCTCCGGGAGGCGTCCGGGGAGGGTCTGTCGGGACGCGTGCCTGTGCGATCGGCGCAGTGGACGCCGAACTTGACGCCGGACGTCACTGGCAGCGACTCGTGGTCCGTGCGGTCGTCGCGCTGGTACGGGTCCGAGTCGAGCACCTGCGGGAAGGTTCCGAGAAGGTTCGGCTCGGGAAGGCCCATGTGCGCGGTGGGTCGGAGTCGAAGTCCGAGGCCAAGACGCAGGCGGCCCCCTCCTTGGGAGTCTCGGAAGTGTCTCGGAAGTGTCTCGGAAGTGTCTAGAAAGTGACCGAGGTCCAGACGCAGGCGGCCCCCTTCTTGGCCGGGATGGTGATGTTAAGCCTAGGGTGAATTGCCCGCCGTAAGGGCTCCTCCTCCGCCCTTGGCGGGGATGGCGACGCCGAGCCTCGGGAAGTGGGTCTCTCCGCCCGTGTAGCTGTTGTGGTCGCCGATGTACATGAAGACGGTGAACATGCGAGGCCCCCAGGCAGAGGAGCGCGGAGAGTTTTGGTCGTGGTGCACCCTGTAGTACTGGCCCGTCTCGTAGCGCAGCACCTGCCCTCGGGAAGAGGAGATGTAGTCGCCGAGATGAGCCGAGATGTTGCCGAGATGTAGCCGAGATCGAGCCGAGGTTGCCCGTCAGCACCTGCATCGGCTCCGCGTTGTCCATCGGTATCCCGCCGAGCAACGACGACACGCGCTTCTCGATCGCTTGCACGGTTGGGTTTCGGAGGCAAGAGCCCTTGCACCTAGCAGGAGCCGACTCGTTGACGGGTCCGCAAACTCGAGGGTGAGTCGAGCCAGGAGCACTCGCACCACGCGGTGGAAGAGGTGCGGGCCGACTGCACGCCGTCCCCCGCCTGAGAGCGCTCGAAGCCGGAGCCTGCTAGAGCCCCGGCCTTGAGGATCTCGTCGGCCTGCAGGCGAGGGTTGGCCATCGTGAGGACTCTCTCTCTGACGGGCGTGAGGGCTGCGGCAGCCTCGTCGGAGGTCATGAAATCCTCGATGAGGAGCACCTGTTCACGGCGCGAGGCGTGAAGAGACGCCGCTCACAGCCGGGGCTTGCCAACGCCTCGCTGAGGAGAACCCACGGCTCGCGAGATAGCATCGTCGTGCCGGGCTGCTCCGCCGCGATCCTCCCGAAGATGCGATCGACTGAGCCCGGCACCGCAGCGGGCTCGGCGTTGACCCCGCGCGCGCACTGCGGCCGATCGAACCGATGCTCCTAGCGATGCATCAGCAGCGGGGTCCACTGGCGGAGCCGCGCGCACTGAGAGGCGGGTCGAGCCGGCCCTCCTTGCACGCGCCGCACGTCCACGCGCAATGCTCCACCAGCTCGGGCATGGAGTAGCAGTTGACCTAGCGGTGCAAGCCCTCGCTGACTGGTTGACTCGTGCTCCGCCAGCGCGAGGAGGGGAGCAGCAGCGGGGAGCGGCAGCGAGGAGGGGGGCGGCAGCGAGGAGGGGAGCGGCAGCGGGGAGGAGAGCGGCAGCGGGGAGGGGAGCAGCAGCGGACCGACTCGCTGTAGTTGGACTCGGGTCCGCCGCGGCACCGCTCCGTGCAGTCCGCCCACTCGTCGCGGCACGTCGCCGACTGGCACATCTTGCATGTGACTGGGCACTGTGTCAGCATGTACCTGAGAAGAGAGTAAAGGATCAGAATCATAGTGGCACATCTTGCACTTGTTCGGGCATGAGTATGGTACCCAGGGTTGGACTGGCACTCGCCGATGGCAGCCCACGTGGCGCACATCCTGTTGACGTCCTCGCACGCCTCCGCCTTCCGAGGCTTTGGCTTGCCTAGGGCCAGGGCCAGGGCCAGGGTCAGGGTCTGCTCAGGGTTTGCCTGCTCTTGCTTCGGGCTGCCTCCGTCGCAGACGTGGCACGACGCGCGGCAGCGCTTCTGCATGTACTGCTCGTTCTTGAAGCACTCACCGCTCTTCGCCCACGTCTCGCAGTTCGAGTCCTCGTCCACGCACCCGGGATCACCGCCCCTGACCGCGCCTCGCCGCGCCGCCTCAGGCACCTCGATGCCGTCGCGGTCGAGCGCCGCAATCACCGCCTCGTGCGCAGACTTTCCGCGTGCGCCCGCGGAGCCGTCGCCCTGGCCGGCGACCGCGCCCTCTCTCCGCTCCGGCGGAGGCTGCAGCGGGTTTGAGAGCCAGCCCGGCAGAATCGTTGCCGCGAGCGCGCTCGAGACTGCCGCCGCGACCGCGATGGTGGTAAAGTGCTTGTCGGCCTTGCGCTTCGCCGACGGCGGCTTGTGCTGCTGCGCCTTGCTGCCGCCCTTGGATTTGCCCATGCGGAGCACACTCCGCTCGACTTCCCTACAGCGGCAAACTAGCCTGCGTAATTTTTTTCTTTCTCTTGTCCCCTTTTTTCGTGTCGAAACGGGTAGTTTCTACGGAAGTGGGCGCAATAAGTCGCTTCATGTCCGTGTGTGTGCTCCCGAGGAGTGTGGACAGGCGTTGCAGGACGCGCCGCGCCGCCGCGGGGCTCACGTGCGGACCGCCGTGAAGCGGGTTGTTTGACTAATGTCGCACATGTTGGGAGACTGATGGGTCAAAAGCATAGATCGTCAATCGACGCGTCGCGCCTTTGCCGATCCGCATAGTGAGGTTCTTGGGTGGCGCGCCCCAGCTCTTCCCAGCTCTTCACAACGAAACCTTGTTCTTTCACGCGAGCCTATCCGCCCGCCGCAGACGAAACCTTGTTCTTTCACGCGCTGGCCTATCCGCCCGCCCCCGATGTCCGCCGCGAAGCGGCCGCGCCGCGCCGCAACCGTTCCACTCCATTTTCAGGACCAGGCGGTGCCCGACACCACCGCCAATGCAGCCAGCAGTGGAAGCGCGGAACACCGGCATCAAGGCGACGTGCCGGTTCTGCAACCTCCGCAACTTGGTGGTCAGCTCCGTGAGCGGAGCGTGCCGTCCTCCCATCCCTCCCTTGGGTTGTCCGTTTTCTTTCTTTTTTTCTTTGGCGCATCCCTCCCTTGGGTAGTCCTATCGTTTATTTCTTTTTTTGGCGCGCACTGGCACTACCGGCTAACCGGCAACACAGGAAAGAGGAAAACCGAGGCGGCAAAAATCTTTCTTGAAGGGTCCTCATTCTCTCGAGAGCTTTCTACTTTTCATTCGTCCCCTCCGGGCTGAGGCTCAGCGTCCCCCAACCGCGTCCAAGCCTCGGCCTACGCACAGTTCCGCGAGGTTATGCCGGGGTGTGCTGAGTTTAGCGTCCGGGACCGTGCCCTCTGGGGGCGGGGCGGCCTCAAGCTGCGCGATGCCTCCAAACTCGCCGATGGTGAGGAGCGACTCGGCGGTGGCGTCGCCCTCCGCCTGGGACGCCTGCGCCCCGTCCACCTTGGCCACCCCGCCGACCCGCTGCACCATCCCGTTGACCAGCCGGTCCTGCGGGTCGTCCTCCGTCGCGGGCCGAAGCTCGGCGCTCATGTAGAGCGTCCGGTCGAAGAGGCCTGGGCACGAGAAGCGGCCATCTGGGCGGAACCGTGCTCACGGTTAGGGCGGGCGGGCCGCACCCTTCGGCTTCTCGATCACGACAAACGCCTCGCGCGCTTGCCAGGACCCGCGCTCCTCCGAGTCGGAGAAGCGGCAGCCGCCGCCGTCGAGGAGCTCGACCGAAAACATCGTCCCGCCGCCCTCCGCCATTTTGAGCAGCAGCGACCACGTCGTGCCCTCAAAGGCCTGGGCGCCCCGCGTCGGCCGCCGCTGCTCCTCCAGAAAGGCGCGCCGCGATGCCGAGGCATCTGCGCAGCAGCGAGGCGCCGCTGCGCGCAAGACGGCAGGCGAGCCGTCGGCCGGCACGGCTCGCCTCAGCGGCAACAGCGTCGAGGACACGTGCAGCAGTACGGCGGCCATGGCCGGGAGCAGTAGGGCTGCGGCCATCGAGACGTTCGGCCTGTGTGGAATATGGCGTTATCCGGTCTCTAACGCACCGACCCGCTCGTAGGCACCGTGCACGCTACCCGGCCGACAGGCACGCGCAGAAGAATCAGCCAGGCACGAGAGACTGCGAAGAGAGATAGGAAGAGGCAGACTCCCTAGGGTGGGCGACGGCTAGCGCACCACACACCTCTCCTTAAAATCCCTGTGTGGTGGCGGCGTGCCGTCCTCCCATCCCTCCCTTGGGTTGTCCGTTTTCTTTATTTCTTTTTTCAGTGTATGTGGCTCTTACGTACATTCCCGTAGTATTTTTGCTTGGGCGGGCCTGATGCTGAAATTCTGCAAAAACCTGGCCGGCCCCTGCGGTGCCCCTACCTACCTACCTACCTACCTATCTTACTTATGGTAAACTAAAAAAGAAATCACTCGATCGGTGAAGGTGGGGTACTATACCAACTAGAGTGATGGTTGGTGGTACTCTCCTGCAACCACAATCCTTCTTGTGACATGGCAGGCCACTCTCAAGCCCTAAAAGCATCAGATCACCCATTTGGGGAGGGTTGACATCGTGATTTCCGCGGAAAATTTCTGTTTTTGAAATTCCAGCTTGAAGAGAGGGAAACCCCGACGGGAGGGCCCAGACCTACCCTACCTACCCCGGCATCAGGCCCGCCCATGCAAAAATAAACTACACCTGCCTGCGACGGGATTTGCCTTCCAAGATCCTGCTCGTGCAGGTGGGGGCCCTGTCCTTCTCCCACCCCTCGTTTTGGCGTGCCCGTTTTATTTATTTATGACGGGGTTTGCGATGAGGACTGGCGCGTACGGAAGAATTTTACGACGAACTCCCACAACACTAGGCAGGAGGTGGTTTGGCGCCGACGGACCGCGCGACCGCCCTCTCCACCACCCTCGCCCAGGGATCTACAACGCTGTCTTAAGGTCCGACCTGTGGGCTCCGGCCTGCGCTCGGCACCGGGCACCGCCTCGGTGTACAAAATGCGCCTGCGGGCGGACCCTCACAGATCACAGATCACAACGCTAGGCACGGGATCCATCCCTCCCCGTTGAGTCTGTTTTCTTTGATTCTTTGAGCACTTGAGCACTGGATAGGGTCGATTCCGCATGGTACGGGACCCCTCGATCGCCTCGCCCTCCCTCGCTGGTGTGCTCATGGGGGGGGTCATAACTTTCTTTCTTTACTAGGCGGGAGTGGCGCGCACTGGAGAAGTCAGAAGAAACACCAGCGAGGGAGGGCGAGACGATCGAGGGGCTGTACCACGGTCCACGCGGAATCGACCCTATCCAGTGCTCAAGTGCTCAACGGAAGAAACCACCGTGGACTGCACTCCAAGTGCTCCAAGACCAAGTGCACCGTGACCTCACACGGCGTGCCGTCCACCCATTTAGTTAGTTATAAACCCGACCCACTGTGATTGGGCGGGAGCTCTCTATCTCTGCCGTGAAAGAGAGCGATGGGTCGTCCAGAGTATCGACCTCTGGCTTGTCGGCCAGCCCCACCCACTCTGCGGGCGCCATGAAGTATTCTCTTGACGCGCGAATGTCATGGGTCCATGTAGACGCTTCCGCATCCTCCGTCCGCATCGATCGCCCTCCCTACCTACGACTGTACATCAATCAATCAAAATCTCTCTCTCTCTCTCTCTCTCTCTCTCTCTCTCTCTCTCTCTCTCTCTCTCTCTCTCTCTCTCTCTCTCTCTCTCTCTCTCTCTCTCTCTCTCTCTCTCTCTCTCTCTCTTTCTCCCCCTCCCCCCCCCCAACAACATACCTTCAAACACTCCCCCCCTGCCCCCCCCCCCCCGCAAGAGCGAAACGAAACGTCTGCAATGAACGTGTACGTACTTTTAGCTCTCTAACGTGTACGTACGTACTTTTAGCTTACTGGGAGAAAAGAGAGAGGGGGTTGTGTTCTCTAGGCCCCTAAGGGCCCTACGCGCGGCGTGAGAGCTCGGAAGCGAGCTTTGCACGGCGATCGAGGATGGCACGGTTCACCCCCTTCACCGAAGCGATCTCTCTCACGTGTACAGTAAAAGACCGCTCGCTAATTGAATAAACGGCCAGGGCCGACGGATCGCGGGGCTCTCGGCTCGTCGTCGTTGGGCAGTGCATTTAATTCTGTCAAAAATCCAAATGTGGTCCGTGGAGCTTATTGGGCTAGGATCATACGTCCGGGAGGCCCCCCATGCGTGCCGTAACGATCGACAGCGATCTGGCTACTCTGTTCACGTTCACACCTCGTAAACCCCCCATAACCCCGATACAGGGGGTACGACTCGCACGAACTCTCGATACGGGTGAGGGGCTCCCCAGGGGCTCCCCCCCCGGGCTGTTCACAACTCGATCGCCGGGCATTCGTTTCACTCAGTGTGCTTTCTTTATTTAACGCCCCCTCCGTCTGACCGTTCCCCCTCCTACTTCCTCCTCCTCCCCCCCCACCGCCGCCTCCCCCATCACCCCCCTCGCCACCCCCTCCGCCATCGCCTCCCCCTCCGCCGCGCCCTCCTTCACCGCCTCCTCCTCCGCCGCCTCTGTCGCAGGAGGTAGGGTACGAGGACTCGCGCAATGACCACAGTAACTCGACCTGCATCGAGTAACTCCGATTCGTAACTCCACCTCTACCCCATAAATAAATAAAACGGACACCTCTACTAGGAGATGGGTAAAAAGGAACAGGTCCCCGCCCTTGCGATCTTTGTGCAGGGTTCTTTGTGCCCACACCCATCACTATGTTTGTGCCCCCCCAGTTTGTCTCCTCTCTCCCCCTTCAGTGTGAGTGGGCGCCGAGGAGGCGCCCAAATGCCCCCAGAGTGTGGTGGTCCTAACTGCCCAAACCTGGGGCTAGTTTGAAATGTGTTCCCTTGACTGCCTGCGTCGCGCGGTGCGCGAGGCAGCTGAAGTAGTCACCCAGATCCCAGTTGCTGCGGCAACACTCCCCGTCGTGCGCGACACCATTCTACTCCAAACCACTCAGATACGAGTTCGCCTTTGTACTTGTATGGTACCCACAACACTTATGAGATGTCGGACGACGAGACCCGCTCTGCGGATGGGTCAATACAGTCACCCGCGACAACACAACAGGGCCGCGCACGCGGCCCACTCACCCTTGCTGGACACCTACCTTCGGGTCCAGATGATCATCCCTCTCTTCAACGAGAGGAGAAAGAGACGTCTCTTGAGCCTACTGGGGGACCTCGACCACAATTCACGGTCAGATCTCGCCAATCCCCTGCGACACCACGTTGGGACAAGTTGAAATCGTGCCCAAGGGCGGCAGGGTTTTCAAAAATCTCTCTCACAGTCACACACACGGAATACTGTTGCACTGTTGCACTGGGATGGGGTCGATTCCGCATGGTACGGGACCCCTCGATCGTCTCCGCTCGCCCTCCCTCGCTGGTGTGTTCATTGGGGGGGTCATAACAAACACGGTACAGGATCGAGGTGCACGCTGCGGAAGCAGTGTCGTCCCCCCCTCTCCATCGTCTCCCAGAGAGACGTCAGCACAGTGGTGGGCGGCGTTGTTGAGGAACCAGTCGCCATGGTAGTCCTTTGCACCACCGACTGTGTCCCCAAGTTCGAGTGCCCGCGTGACAGTCGAGCGGCACTGCGAGAGGTGAAGGCCGTTTCGGCGCTGAAGCTCGCCGATGAATATGTCGTCTGGAATGCATGTGGCATTGCTGCCGTCGAGTTTTGTGTCGAGCCACCGCCCCGCGTAAGGCTGCGCAGTTGAGACGTAGCGGATGGACTCGCGTAGACGTATTTTGGTGTCGCCTGGCTGCCAGTTGGCTGCCGTGTAGTCGTCGAGGGCGCGCCACTCCTTCTGCAGATCGAACCAGTTCCAGATAGTCTCGATGGCAGCAAGCGCCCGCGCATACGGGCTTCCTGATTTGCAAGTGCCATCGATGACTGACTCCGGTGTTGGAAGGGACTCAGAAGTGGGGAGGCTGACGCCCTTGGGGTAGAACTCAGAGATCTTGCCGCCGCGCAAGGTGTAGTAGATGTTGTCGTCGCGCGCGGCTCGGATGGAGGCCACCTCGTCTCGCCTCGAGAGCGCGGCTCTGTACGAGTTGACGGCGGCGTCTCGTGCACCGTACCCGCCGGAGCGCTCGGCTTCGGCGAGGTCCGGGCTGCAGGCCACAAGCTTTGACCAGCATTTGAGGAGGGAGATGTAGTAGGCCTCGGCGGGGCCGCGCACGCCCGTGCGGCCCCCACCCGTGTCGTTGGGCACGCCGACTTAGTGTTGTGTGGGAGTTCGTTTTGGTAAAATTCTTCCGTACGCGCCAGTCCCGTGCCTAGTGTCGTGTGAGAGGCCCTTGTAAAATCGACCGAGTTTGCGTTGAGGAGCGAACCGAGCCGCCGGGTGCCCCCGCAGCGGCCTCGCTGGGCCAGAAGATCGGCGCCCGCGAGTGCTCCCCTCCGCAGCAGCCTCGCTGGGCCAGAAGATCGGCCCGCGAGGTGGGCTAGCATGAGCCCGATGCGTCGCAGTGCTCTTGAGGTGCTCTTGCGTTTCGGCGGTAGTGATCTGATCACCCGAATGCCACGTTCGGATCGCTCCTCATCGCAAACCCCGTCAGTCAGCAGTCCTCCTCGCAAGCAAGAGCGCGTGCTGAAATTCTTCTCCGCGGTCGGGATGTCGGGGGGGTGGGGTGGGTGGGGTGGGCGCCGGAGTGGGAGTGGTGTGACTGCTCCTGTGGTGGGCGCGACGGCTTCTGAGGAAGCCATCGGATGCTGTGTAATTCTTCCCCGGGGGCCCAAGTTCGTGAGTTAGCAAGCGCGGTGGCGTGCGCACAGTGCCTACGAGCGGGTCGGTGCGTTAGAGACCGAATAGCGCCATCTTCCACACAGGCCGAGCGTCTCGATGGCCGCAGCCCTACTGCTCCCGGCCATGGCCGCCGTACTGCTGCACGTGTCCTCGACGCTGTTGCCGCTGAGGACCGACGCGATCGACGCCTGCGACTCCCTCCTTGCCTTCCCGGCATCGTACGCGGACGTGCGCGGAGCCTTGACCGTGTCCATCGGAGTGAACATCGCCCCTACCGACGCACGTAACATGGCGACACGGCCGACGGCCCACTTGTCTCGGCTCGTTTCGGCGAATTCATTACGTTTCATTCGCGCCTTGTCCCGCCGCTTTCTGGCTGGGATCTTGCGATCGATCGAGTGCTCGGCCGCTCTCCCTCCTCCTGTCTGACCTCCCTGGCTGATGCGCGTTCGCAGACCAGGCGATGGAGGTTGTGGCGGTATCCCGGCATCAAACGCATCATCGGAGAACAGATGGGAAAGAGCAGGTCGATCGAGGCCAGGTCCCAGGAAGGGAGGAGCAAACTGCACTCGCTCGTCACCAGGAGGGAGGGGCAGCGCGACGAGCGCGCGAGCAGCGGGAACCCAGTTTCCTGGTGGTTGCCATTGCTTTCACCTCATCGGCCTGCGAGAATCAAAGCACGAGCCGTGCTACCAGCGGAGCACGACATGGAGAAGGCATCGCGGCTTTGCACGCCCCCAACATTCCCCTGACAGCAGCGCCCCACGGCGTGGGCTGCGAGGTCACTCGGGGTGACCCAGGGGGCGGCGGGGGAGCACTCTCCCGCCGGAGTAGCGGGCGGTCTTCCCGCTACTCGCTCGTATTTTGAGGTGCATCCATGCCCCGCCCACCACCTTCCCGGCAGCTCCACCCCCTCGGTGACGTCCTCATCTTCTCCCCCCCTGCCCCGCCCCCCCTTCAGGCAAGGCCCTGGCCACCAAAATCGCGCTCTGCGCTCCGGGAACGGGCAGCAGCGCGACGCAGAGTTCGACCACGAGAGCGAGCGGCGGCGGCGGCTTAGCACCAACCATGTCAGTGCATGGGCTGGCTGCGTGGCCCCCGCCACCAGACTCCGTCGGGCTCGCGTCTCCCTGCCCGCTGAGGGGAGCGCAGTGTGTGTGTCTATGTCAGTGTCTGTGTCGGTGTCCCTGTCGGCTCGTGTGTGTCGTGTGTGACTCTCGCAAGCTCGCCTCCCATCGTCCATCGACCGAGTGCGAGCCATGCAGCGTGATCGCAGTGCCGCTCGCAACGGGTCGTCCAAGGATTCCTCTAGGGCCGACGCACGAAAAAAGAAAGCGGTTCTCAAAGGTACACGGGTGATTAAATCCATTAAAAGCGAACGCCGAAGCTGTGGCGCGCCAACCTTGCCCGCCCAACTCTCCGTCCACCACAATGTCCATCCCATTTTCACTCTCCGAGGCGGGCTTCGAGGGATCCAGGTCGCTCGTGAGCGGCCTGCACAACGTGGCCCTGCAGACCGACAATGGCGGCAGGGCGCCGACCTCCTCCAGTGACGACTCTGACGGAGCAGACGTGGTGCGTGGTGCAGCTGCACGCGCAGAGGCCCCGCTCGCGGCACCGCGGCTCACTGATCGGGCCGACTCGCTGCCACAGGTGGAGCAGCGGCCTCAGTTCTCGCCCAGTGCCATGGCGTACCCGTCCCCGCCGCACATGCACGGCCCGATAGTTGCCGTCAGCTGCTACACGTGCTTCGCGGACCTGGCCCACGGCCCTCGCGGCGTCGAGGCGCAACGGTCGTTCTGGACGTTCCGGCTCAACCTGAACGACGGCACTCTCACCCTCCTCTCAGCTGTGCCGAAGGGCTTTGCCCACAACCCGGTGCGCCAGCGGCCTGCGCAAGCCTTCCTTGACAGGCCCAACGCCACCCTCACCCGGACCCCGCACCCCAGGCCTTCACTCGGTGCCACCCGAGCCTCAACGTCGTCTACTCGTGCACCGAGTCCGTCCGCCACGAAGGGCAGGTCCCTCTCCCCCCCCTGGTCCTCTCACGTCCCTCCCCTCCCCTCCCCTCCCTCCCCCTCTCCTCTCTCCCTCTCCTCTCTCCTTCACCTGCTCTGCTCTCTGCTCCTCCTCGTCCACCCCTGCCCCACCCCTCTCCCCCTCCTCGCTCCTCTCCCCCTCCGCCCTCACAGGTCCTCGCGCTGCAGCTCGACTCGCGGAGCGGCGAGTTGACCGAGCTCTGCCCGCCCGTCTCTGCTGGCACGGCTGATCGACGTGCCGGCACCCACACGCTAGAAGCATCCGAAGCGCTCTCTCCCACATTCCCGCAGGCGGCTGGTCCACCTGCTACCTCACCATCCACAAGTCTGCCCGCCGGCTGCTCCTCGTAAACTACTGGGACTCGACCATCTGCACGCTCGAGCTGCTCCCGAGCGGCCAGCCCTGCCGCCGCTCCTCGCGCCACCCGCACAGGACACGCCCAGGACACGTTCAGCATGTCCCGTAGGCAAGCTCGGCCGGCGGCTCTGCGTCTACGACCCGAAGGGAGGGCGCACGATGAAGGCGAAAGCTCGCCGAGATGTAGCCAGCCGAGATCCAGCCGAGATCCAGCCGAGATCCAGCCGAGCGACAGCCGAGAGACAGCCGAGAGCCAGCCGAGAGACAGCCGAGAGCCAGCCGAGAGACAGCCGAGAGCCAGCCGAGAGCCAGCCGAGAGCCAGCCGAGAGACAGCCGAGAGACAGCCGAGAGACAGCCGAGAGACAGCCGAGAGACAGCCGAGAGACAGCCGAGAGACAGCCGAGAGACAGCCGAGAGACAGCCGAGAGACAGCCGAAGGGAGGGCGCGCGATGAGGGCGAGCGCGGCCCCACCAGTTGCGAGCAGTGAATGTTGCAGGAACTGTCCGAGAGCCTTGTCGGGGCCTCTCTTCAGGCGAGCGCGGACCGGCACGTCAACCACTCGATGAACGACGAGCGCGCGCAGGTGGAGCGACACTACGGCTGCACCTCGGCTGCACCTCGGCTGCTCCTCGGCTGCACCTCGGCTGCACCTCGGCTGCACCTCGGCTGTTTCTCGCAGGCGGAGCGGCAGAGCGACCCGCACTCGCACGCGATTGTGGCCGAGCCGGCTGCTGGGACGGACACGTCCGCGACACGTCCAGGACGTGTCCGAGACATGTCCCATAGGTGCTCGAGCCGTCGGCGGGGACGATCGCCTATGTGCGGCCAAGTTCGGGCATGGATGTGCTCCGAGACGTGCCCCGCCGCGGACGTGTCGAAATCACGTCCCATAGGTGCCTGACTTGGGCATGGACGTGATCCGCCAGTTCCACTTCGACGAGGAGACCGGCGTGGTGACTCCTTGCGGCGTGATTCGTTCGGGCGTCAAGCGCGCCGGGCGAGGGCTCGGGCCGCGATACCTGATCTTCGCGAAGGCGTTGCCCACGTGCTACGTCGTCAACGAGCTCTCTTCGCAGGTCCACTCTCTCTCCCGGCCATCCTATCCCGGACACCTCTCGGCCACCTCCCGGCCACCTCCCGGCCACCTCCCGGACACCTCCCGGACACCTCCCGGCCACCTCCCGGCCACCTCCCGGCCACCTCCCGGCCACCTCCCGGCCACCTCCCGGCCACCTCCCGGCCACCTCCCGGCCTGCTCGCAGGTCGGCGTCTTCACGTACGACGCAGGGGTGGCCGCCAGCATTGAGAGCGCGTGGGCGGGCGCCGGATCGGTCGAGGCCAAGCAGGCGGCCGGTGTGCCGTTCATACTCCATTAGCTCTCACTCTTTGACTCACTCTCTGGTCCTTCAAGCAGGCGGCGGTGTGCGCCGCAGCGGAGCCGACCCTCACCCTGGTGCAGACGGTGGCCACCATCCCCGACGCCTTCCCCGTCGAGATGAACACGCGCGGCCGCGTCGCTATTCGCCGACCGGTTGTCCTTTGTGCGTGCTGCACTCATCCGCCGCCACACAACCCCACAGGTGCGGCCGCATCACCATCCACCCATCGGGCGACTTCGTCGTCACCTCCAACCGAGGCCACGACTCGGTCTGCTATTTATTTATTTATTTATTTATTTATTTATTTCTTTCACCTCCAACCGAGGACTCGATCTGCGTGCACCGCTTGCACACCTTATCGTCACCGTCACCATTACTCTTCATTGTCATCGCTGCTAGGTTTGCGTGCACCGCGTGCACCGCGACTCGACGCCGCCCGGCCTGCTCTCGCTCGCCGGCATCTTCCGTAGCCGCGGCGAGGCGCCTCTCTGTGGATGTTGCCGATGATTCGAATCATTGACGAATCAGGCATCTTCCACACGCGCGGCGAGACGCCGCGCCACTTCCAGTTCGACCCGTCGGGGCAGTGGCTGCTCGTCGCGAACCAAGACTCCAACACTTGCGCCGTCTTCGCCTTCAACACCGCCACCGGCTGCGTCACCTACACAGGCAACACGTACAAGGTGCCGTCGCCAAACTTTGTGAGCGTGAGAGCGTAGCGGCCACGGCGGAGCGAGGCCGAGGGGGGCGATGTCTTCTGACGCCGCCCTCTCTCTGCCAACTCGCTGCTGCCACTTTTGTCGGATCTCGCTGTAAGGGATCGGGAAAGGAGGGTAACGAGGGTGTGCTGGGTATTGGGATGGCACGCGCGGCGTTGGCGCGGCTGCGGCCGCCCTGGCCTGAGTGCGTGGGATGGGTGTGGTGGGCTACGTACTACGTTAACCCCACGCTGCCGCGAAAGCGCCAGGGCAAGGCGCTTGGGGGCGTGCGGAAAAAGTGATTGCGTTTCGTCGCACTCAAAAGGCCCGGAACGACGCCCGACTTGTGTGGGCCCCCGATAGCCTCAATGCTGAAGCTCCTACTCGCGTCGCTCGCCGTGTCCTCCGCGTCCGTCGTCGAGCCCAAGAAGGCCGCGCAGCCCGCACTTCGACTTCGCGGCGGCGGTGGCCTGGGATCTGCCATTCTCACCATGTCGGCGGCTGCAGCCGGCAGCACCGGCGCCCTTATGTGAGCGCCCGCACAGCATTATGGTAGACGAGCCCGCACAGCATTATGATAGACGGTGCTGCACGCGGCTTCGGCCGCACCATCACGGATGCAGTCGCCTGCGCTGTCAACTCGGTCGCGCCGGCTGGCGGCAGGTACATTGGCAAGGAGGACCTCGCGTCGCTGCTCTGGCTCAACCTGAACCAGTGGCCGGCGGACAAGATGCTGGGCTCGGCAGTTGTGGGCTGGGCCGTCGGCAAGTTCATCTGCGCGAGGAACGGGCTCGCCAAGGAGTACTGCCAGCTCAATATCGTGCCTATGCTCCTCATGATCCTCGCGAACGTCATGGGCGGCGGCCCCATGACAGCCAACCTGCTACCCGCATGCTTCACTGCGGCATATGTCTATGTCGGCTTCGTCGAGGACTGAGCACGGCGAAGGAGCAGCAAGCCTGATCCGGGGAGCGACAGGGCATTGGCCCCCGTGCGCACGGCCCATGTCCATGTGCGGCCCAGGCCTGCCAAGGTCGCCAGCGCCCAGCGGGGAGGTGCATACCTCGCGTGAGAGAGAGAGAGAGAGAGATTTTAGAAAACCAACACAAGAAATCACGACTCTCACAGTGATTTGGGCTCGGCAGCTTGTCAGCCCTCAGCCGAAGCTGGGGCCGGTCCCGTAGCCGAGAGAGCCCGCGCCGATGAGTTCGACGCGGGCGGTCGGGGGGCCTTGCGGAGAGACCAGCGAGGTGGCGATCGCTGTACTTCATGGTGCCCTCGGTGGGGCGGCTGACAAGCCAGAGGTACAGAGGTCGATACTTGCACCCCTGACACAGTTATTGTTATGGTGTTAACTGTTATGGCTCTCGGGGCATAGCAGCCCATAACATGTTATGCGGGGTGTTATATGGGTGTTATGGGCCCGGGCATAGGGTGGGCATAACAGCCATAACAGCGATGGAGGTGTTATGAGGTGTTATGAGGTGTTATGGGGTGTTATGAGCAGCCAGCCATAACAGCCATAACACCTGTTATGGCCGCTCCCATAACCTTGTCTGGGGTCAAGATACTCTAGACGACCCATACAGGATGCCACGAATGCCTGGAGGAGAGGGAGGCGAGGCCAGAGGCAGACCGCTCAGCTGCTCTTGGGTGATCTCGCTTTGGTGGCTGAAGGACCCGATGGTCCTGTCACAATTCGTGTTCCAACTAGTATTCCCTCGTATATAGGGTGTGGTTTCAGCAGTGGCACAGTATCGCCCATGTGCGGCGGCAGGAGCTGCACGCAGCTCGTTCGAGCGGCCACTTTTTGCGTTTTGGCAGGTTCGAGGACAGGTCGTTCGCGTCTTCGCGGTAAGCGAACGTGCAAGTGCAACAAACAAATCGAACGAAAGACACGCCAAAAGCCTTACCCGTCCTCCGATGAAACTTGGATCCGCGGCGGGGCGACCAGTCCCGGCGTTCGATCCCGTGGTCGAGAAGGCGTGAGAGCTGCACCGTCGCCGAGCCGGACGGAGGCGGGCTTGCTTCTTTGCGTCTCCATGCCAAAAAAGAATGTTACAACAAAACTCCCTCGCACAACACTGGGCACGGGACTGGCGCGCACTGGCACTTACACAGGTACACCAAAAAAAGAATTTCGCCGGGTCGGCTGCGTCTAGCCTTGCGATATATATACATATGTTGGACGACGACCCCCCGCCGCCCACCCTCGGCGCTTACACGCAGCCTGTTTCGACCACTGTCCGAGAATGCCAGCTCTTGTTCGACCGGGGCTGCGTGTGGGCCTTCAGCCTGCACCGCGAGGAGGCGGTCGCCTGCTTCCAACGTGCAGCTGAGGCGGACTCGGCGTGTGCAATGGCGCACTGGGGCGTCGCCTTCGCGAATGGGCCCGATTACAACTGGAACGAGAGCGCCGGCTTCTTCGCGGCGGCCGCGCAGCACGCGGGCTATCCCAGCTTCAAGGTTGCCGCCGATGCTCTCGAGCGGGCGGCGGCGGCGCTGACCGACGAGAGCCCTCAGCGCGAGCGAGATCTGGTCGGCGCGTTGGCCCTGCTGTTCGAGTGGCCAGTGACGCCGACCGCGGCGCAGCGCAAGGTCGCCTATGCCGACGCGATGCAGGCTCTCGCCGAGAGGCCGAACTATGCGGCAGACGCAGACGTGCAGGCGCCGCTGCACTCCCGGCTCTCTCTCCCGACTCTCTCTCCTCTCCCCTCCCACTCCCCCATCCATATCTCTGCTGCCCTCCCAGACGAGCTTGCTCCTGCCGTCTGTCCGGCAGGCGCTCGCCGCCGACGCCGTGATGTCCCTCGCCCCATGGGCGCTGTACGGGGCGGACCAGGCGCCGACCCCGGTGGCCGTCCGTGCCAAGGCGCCGCTCGAGCGCGGGCTGGCGGCAGATCCGGCGCACCCGTACCTCTGCCACCTTCGCGTACACCTCGACGAGATGGGGCCCAGGCACAGCTCTGCAGCGTCGCCGCAGGAGCAAGCCGGCGGCCGCCCACTCACCCGCCGCCCACGCGTCCCTCGCAGGGCGCGGTTCCACTGGCCCTCCGCTGAGGCGCGCCGCAGCCGCGACATGTCCGCGACATGTCCGCGAACTGTCCATGACATGTCCTGTACCTCTGCCGAGGCGCTGCGCCGAACCGACGCCACCGACGCGGGGCCATCCCTGCACATGCCCTCTCAACGATTCATCATCACTGAGTGGTTCAAGAATTGCATAGGCGGGCCACCTGCTGCACATGCCCTCGCACCTCGACATCCAGGCGACGCACTCGCTCGTCAGCAACCAGTGGTCAGTGGCTCGTCCTCGTGACCAATGCCCTCCCCCCCCCTCGACACCTCAGGTCGGCGACTACTCTGCAGCGATGCAGGCGAACAGGGAGGCCATCTCTGCCGACTTGCGGCAGCTCGCACGCGCGCCGCAGCGCTTCTCGATCTACTCCGGCTACGTGGTGCGCAACACGGGGCCGCTCGCTTGGGCGGCCGCCTCTTCACGCCTGCACTCGCGAGCAGGTGCACAACATGGAGTTCCTCGCTTGGGCAGCCATGCTCGCCGGGAACAAGGGCGCCGCCCTCGCCGCCGCAGGCCAGATCGAGACCTTCCTCGACGAGGCGCGCCTCGGATTGAGGAATGAATGAGTCGACTCTCAAGAGGGCCCTCCTCGACCAGGCGCGCCTCGCCTCGAACCCGATGCTGCCGGCCTTCTTCGAGTCGTACTTGGCCACACGGCCGATGGTGGCGTCGCTCTCGGCGGCTGGGAGGAGCGAGTCGAGGAGACCTCAAGAGGCGTCCGTCGCTCGCTTCAGGTGCTCGTGCGGTTTGGGCTCTGGGAGGAGCTCCTCTCGCTGCCCCTGCCCGAGGACGCGCAGCTCTACCTCTCGCGCACCCTCTTCCTTCGTTTCGGCCGCGCCCTGGCCTTCGGCGCGAAGGGAGACGTAGCGGCGGGCCGGGCGGAGCAGGCGGCGTTCGCGGCTCTGCTCACGCCGATGGAGCCGGAGACACGCGCCTCGGCCGGTCGGCGGGGTCGCATTGGGCGCTCTCCGGACCCTTCTCGGACTTGCCCCCCACAGGACACGCGGCGGAAGCACAACACGACGGTCGCGGAGCACTCCGGCCCGATCGCAGCTGCGGTGCTCGAGGCGGAGCTGAGCTGCGGTGAGGGCCGCCTCAAGGGGACGAGGGGTGAGGCAGCGGACGGACTCGTGTAGGCGGAGCTCTCCTACCGCGAGGGCCGCCTCGAGGCGAGCTGGGCCGCGCTCGCAGACGCCGTCGCAAGGTACGACGCGATGCCGTACGACGAGCCCGCCGGCTACCTGATGCCTCCGCGCCAGACGTACGCCGCGCTGCTCGCCGAGCAGGGCCGCCTCGAGCGCGCCGCGCGGCTGTACGAGGAGGACCTCGGCACCTTCCCCAAGAACGTCTGGTCGCTCGCCGGGCTGCGGCTCTGCCTCGCCGGGGAGGCGCACGCGCCGCGGCTGAGGGAGGTCGAGGCGGCGCTGGCCGCGGCGGAGGCGGCGGCAGACGTCGAGGTGCGCGCGAGCTGCGCGTGCGCGCTGGAGAGCTGGGGCTCGGGGAGGCGACCGGCGCCTGAATGATATTGTTGATGTGCTACGCCGCGTTAGCAAAGAGACGCACTTGCCCCGCCAGCACCGTGCCAGCAGCGAGAAGAAGGGCGCGCGCGCGCGGGAACACATGCACCGCGGAAGAAAAAACGACACGGCAGAGAACTGAGAGAAGAGCCGTGTGTGGGAGAACGACCGGTCCGACACACCTCCCCGACAAATACAGTAGAGCGGATCGGTGCAAACAGCACCCTAGAGATACTGGCTAGATAAATAACATTACACTGGCGGCCGCGGGGACTCAGGGCTCGCCTGCCCCCCCCCCCGCCCCTCGCTCGGTCGCCAGGGTGCGAGGCGAACAGCGGCGCGCGGAGAACGGTCGGGCCGCTCGCAGTCTCGCCGCCCGGCAGCTGCTAGCCCACTTGGGGGGGGGGGGGAGGGGGGCTCAGCGGCGGTGTCGGCGCCGCTAGCGGCCGCCTCGAAGCCGCCCAGTCGGCCGCCTAGGCTCGCCGCAGGGCCGCCGAGGGCACGAAGCGCGGCGGCGGCGGGCCGCGGCCGAAGAGGCGCGAGACAAGCGCGGCGCAGAGAGCGCGTGCATTCTCGGCGACGACCTTGCGCCGGAGCGCGGGGTGCGTGAGGCTGTCGTGCCACCAGCCGTCCGCCTTCATCTTCGCCGCCGCGTCGATCAGTTTCGCGGTGACCTGCCGGGATGCGGCCGAGGTATGGCCGAGATGCAGGCGAGGTACCGCCGAGGAGTCGCTGCGATTGACCTTCTCGAACCCGTCCTCCTCCGAGATACAGCCGAGATACAGCCGAGATACAGCCGAGATACAGCCGAGATACAGCCGAGAGCTCGCCTGCTCGAACTCGTCCTCCTCGTAGTCCAGCGAGAAGAGGCAGCGGCGCATGCCTGCAGTCTCTGGCAGCCACGGCTGATCTCGGGCTGCGCCGGGCAATCTCGGGCAATCTCGGGCATCCCTCTGCGGTCGGGCGGGAGGAGGCGCGCGCCTTCGCTCGAGAGGCCGACCCCCTCGGCGCGGAGGTAGTGCGGCAGGAGCCTATTCACAGCAAGAGGTGTGAAGACGCGCTGTTCGCACCTCGGCGCGGAGGTAGTGCGGCAGGAGCCAGTGGTAGCGCGAGGCGCGAGGGTAGCGCAGAGTCCACACCGTGGCGAGGTGCTCGACGCGCAGGGGGAGGGCCGACTGCGCGAGCTTGCGGTTCGTCTCGGCGGCCCACTTTGCGGTGAGGGCGGCGCCGCGCTGGTACTTGTCGGCGGCGGTGGGGGAGGCGACGAATTCGAGGAAGGCCGCCGTGGGGCCGAGGAGCGAGGGCGCGGCGGCTGAGGTGCTCGAGCCGAGCGCGGGGCGGGCCGGGTCGTCTGGGTCGATCCGCTGCATGAGTGTGCGCCTGCACAGTGAGTTGCTGTGCAGTGAGTTGACCCGTGGTGCCTCCCCTCCGCCAATCTTGGATTGCGGCGGGGGGGGGGGGGGGGAGCAGGCGCCGGCCACAGACGGCTCCGATGGGCATGCCTCCGCCGAGGGTCTTCCCGTACGCGACCTGAGTCTCGAGCCAGCGAGTGAGGGATGGCGACGCAACTCGCTCCTCGAGTTCCTCGCGGCAGGCGACCATGTCGGCGACGACGCCAAAGTGCCGCTGCGCGCCGCCCACCGCGAGCCGGAAGCCCGAGTCGACCTAAGGAGTCCCACTCATTCCCCGCTCCCTCGCTTCGTTCGCCGCCCGCTCGCCCAGGCGGAGGCGGCAGTCGACCTCGTCGAGGAGGAGCGGGACCTGAGGAGAGGCGGGAGAGGGAAGGGGGGTGACTGCCGGTCCGCGCCGTACGCGAGGCGACGGGGGGGGCGGGTGGGAGGGAGGCAGGGGGGGGGGGGGGGGGGGGGGGGCGACGCACGTTGCTGCGCGTGCAGGCGTCGCGCAGCGTCTGGAGCCAGGACTTGTACGCCGCGTCGGGGTCCGCCTTCCCGTCCCCCGCCGCCCCTCCGCCGCCCCTCCGCTCGAGAGCCTGCAGGGGATCGACCACGACGCAAGCAACCTCGGCCGCACGCGCGGCGAGCAAGCGCAGCGCGGCCGCGTCGAGGCTGCTGCAGCGAAGGACACCGCCCAGCTCGGAGAGCGAGCCTCTGTCGGCGGCGGCGTCGAAGGCGAGCACGAGTCGCCGCCGCGTGTTGAAGCGGCAGAGCTGGACGGCGGCAGTGACCGCCTCTGCGCCGGAGGAGTGGAAGGAGACCTGTGGACATGCTGCGGGATTTGCCGTGGGCATGTCGTGGGCGGGTCGCAGGCCTCAGGAGGAGGAGTGGCTTCGCCTCATCGAGGCCGGAGAGTTCGCGCAGGAAGCGGAGGACGTCTGCTGCCGCAGGGTGGAGCGGGCCGAGCACGTTCGGTCCCAGCTTTGCTATCCGGTCGTTGCCCTCCGCCACGCACGCCTTGTAAAAGTTGTACCCGTGCACGTTGGCCCCGTCCGAGCCCGAGCAGTCGAGCGTCCTGCGGCCGTCGGCGTCGACGAGGTACGGCCCGTCGGACTCGACGGCGTGCCGCGCCTGCTCACGGCTGCAGGTGTGAAGAGGCGAGGTCGGGCCCGGCCGGCTCGACGGCGTGCCGCGCCGCGGAGAGGCGCCGGAGGGACTGCGGCAGCAAGCGGTTGTCGGTGAAGCGGCCGTCGGCGAGGTGGCGGAGCAGCTCGGACAGCTCCCGGGAGCGAGGCCCCTCGAGAGAGGCGGCGCGGCGAGCGAGCGCCGCGAGCCCGGCGCGGCGTCTGGCCTGCACCTCTGGTGGCGCGCCGTCCACCGCGCACAGCTCGGCGTCGGTGCACTTGTGCCAGGCCACGGCGGGCGTCAGCAGGCGAGCGACAAGAGGAGGCGTCCACGCGGCGCGGAGGGTGAGCCACATAACGCGGGCCTTCTCGATGAGCTGGATCGCGAGGAGCGCCACCACGGAGAGGATGAGCACGTCGAGCGAGAAGTAGCGCCCATAGCCAAGCATTGTTGCCGACAGCACCCCACACACGGACCAACAACAGTTTCAGCGAGAGTGCCACGCACCCGCGAGGGCAACTTTCTCTTCTTTAGCCATACATACGTCCGTCCCCCGCCCCGACGCCTGCGCACAGCCGACAGCTCGCACAGCGATGGGGAGCTCCACCTCCTGCTGCTCTGACGCCACCTCCTCCGCCACCTCTTCGATGACCAGCGCCTTCAACAGCACCAAAAGCGGCCTCAGCAGCGCATTCAGCAGCGCAAAGAGCAGCGCGAACAGCGCATTCACATCGGCAAAACGGCAGGCGTCCGACCAGGTGGAGAATGCAAGAGACTTGGCGATGGACCAAGGGACGGAGCTCTTCGAGTCGGCAAAGGAGCAGGTCACGGATCAGGCGACCAGTGCGTTCGACTCCGCAAAGTCCCAAGGGACGGACCTCTATAACTCCACAAAAGAGCAGGTCACGAGTCAGGCTACCGAGACGTACGACTCCGCAAAGGAGCAGTTGACAAGTACGTTCAACTCCACCAAGTCGCAGGTGACCGAGCAGGCGAGTAAGGTCTATGACTCGACCAAGTCGCAGGTGATCGAAGCCGTCGACTCTGGCAAGGAGCAGGCGAGCAAGACGTACGACGACGCGGTGGGCAGTGCGAAAAAGGCGAGAGACAAGGTGACGGACAAAGCCGCAGATCTCCAGGGCAAGGCCCAGGAGAAGGTTGACGGCCTGACCGGAAAGGCCTCGGATCACATCGATAGTCTGACCGCGAACTTAAACGAGGGGATCGAATCGGCCACGAACCAACTGAACACGGCGACCGATGGCCTCAACACGAAGGTCTCCCAGGCGACGGATGACCTCAACGCCAAGCTTGCCTCCGCCCTGCCAACATCGGGCACGACGCAGCCTACGGAGAGCAACTCGCTCGTGGAGCAGCTGAAGGCGGCTCGCAACGCCGCCGTGAAGGCACGGCTGGAGCGCCGCACGGATCTCGCTTAAGACAGAAGAGAGAGACCATCACGCGGCATTTGCGGCACTAGGCGCGCGAGGATGCGATGGCCGACGGCGTGATCGACGAGGAAGAGCAGAAGGCGATCGATGCGGCGACTGCGGCGATCGATGATCTGGAGGCAAAGGTGAAGGAGGCAAAGGACAAACTCGTGTCCGGAGAGATGACCTTCCAGTAGTTGTGCCGTGCAGCCAGGCGGTCTCATCAGCTCGGGGGCGTTGGGTCTCTCGACTCTCCGCCGCTCCGCCCGGGAGAGCGGAGGAGAGCGGCCTCTAAGGTCTCTGTCACTAAGTTTTGTCACTATCTTGAGCCCGCCGCCGTCCTGCAGGCCGGCCGGTCTCTCCGCATGATGTGTGTTGTTTGAGTGCGAGAGAGAGATTTTTACAATACCAAACAACTCTAACACTCACACGTAATTTGGGGCCTGGAGCCCTGTTCACGCGTGTTTGTGAGTGCGACCGTCTTGAGATAAACACATAACAACAACGGACACCTCAACTTGACTCTCAAAGGGAGCGGGGAATCGCGCGCGCACACAGACCCGAAAGAATGATTTGACATTGCTAAAAGATATAACATTTTACGGTGTTATTGTTTTGCGCCGGGTGTGCGTGTGGCTCACACCCCGGGAGTCGGACGGTCTGGCTAGTTCCAATTCACTCTGACACGCTAATCTTGAAAACGCGTCCAACGGAGCTCCGTGTTGCTCCCAGCGCCCCCCCCCCCGCGCTTCCTGCGGCCATGGCCGATGATACTAGTATGGGGGGTCATCTGGCTACCGCGAGAGCGACCCAGCTCGTCGACATCGTCCGATGATGGTGCCTCAAAGTCAGCCTTCGGAGGCTATCGTGTGGTCGAGCCGGCGGTGGCCGTGACATGTGGTTCCACCGCCCCTCGCAGGCTTTGCCTCTGACCGCCACCGTTCCCAGGCTGCCTAATGGGATGAAAAGGAAGGCTGGGCGAGCGTATAGAAGCGTTCTCGACCTCGTCGTGGCAACCTGCACGGCAGCGCTGGCAGGCGCGATGAGCGTCGTGCCACCTGACCCAAGACGGGTCGCAGGCGTCGCAGCGCGTCGAGACCGTGTACTGAGGTGCTCTGCACGGGCGAGTCACGTCGGCGTCAAAGCACAAAGGAGCGACGTGCGACCTGTCAGAGCTTGATCTCCGATCTCAGCGGCGTCGAGTCGCCTTTGGTGGCGACAGCTAGGATGCATCTCCTCCGTCGTTTTTCGCGCGATGGCCCTGGGAAGCTGGCGGCGCACGCAGGCGGACCTTGTGTGCAACTAGTCAAAATGGGCCCAAATCACATAGAGACTAGAAATAGACACACACGCCGCGGCGCTCTGCGATCTTTTTTCTAATACATAAAATTCAATACACGGCTCACGCATCGGCCTTCGGCGCGCTCTGCGCCGCTCTCTCTCTCGAGGTCCACGACAATCATGGTCTCTCGCAGAGGACAGAGCTTGACGCCGTTTAATTTATTCATCTCTCTCTCTCTCTCGACACTCGCGCCGCTCGTCGTGCTCGTGGACGTTGCTGCTGAGCCCAGAAAGCAATATTCACTGGCCCGCTAATACCTAAAAGGGAGCGCGGGCCGGCCGCGGCCCGCCGCGCCACCGGCTACGCGGTGCCCTCAAACTTTGCGGCGAGCGCCTCGAGTTCCTTGGACTGCGCCTGGAGCGCCTGCAACTGCTCCGCGATCTGCGCGCGCGCGGTCGCTCGCCGAGTCCGCTTGGCGACACTCGCGCTCGTGGCGGCGCTCAGCTGCTGTGTCGCCATGGAGAGCGCCCGCTGCGACACCTGCTGCTCGCTCGCGTGCCGCTTGAGCGCCTCGCGCCGCTTCACGTCCGCGTCGTGCGCCCGCGCCCTCTCGAGCACCAGCTGCTCGCGCACGCCCGAGAGCTCCGCCTGCAGCGCCTGCAGCGCCTGCTCTCGCCGCAAGAGCTCCTGGTGGCCGGTGGCCTTGGCAGCGTCGAGCGACTGCTGGTGCTCCGCATCCCGCTCCGCGGCCCGCCTCCGCTCCGCGTCGAGCTCCCCGCGCAGCGACCGCAGCTCCTCGCCGCGCGCCGCCGCCTCCTTGGCCTGCTTCTTCTCCTCCGCGCTCTGGAGCAGCACGAGCTGGTCGTGCGCGCGGCTCCGCAAGAGGCTGATGGAGCGCACGCGGTCCTGCTCCTTTACGAGCTGCTCCTCGAGGGAGGGGAAGAGCTCGGGGCCGCGCGGGTACTGCGTCGAGAGGCCGAGCATGAACGCGATGGTGCAGGCGCACAGTACGAGTTGCAGGAATAGAGCCGGGCCGCGAACAAGAGAATGCGGACAAAAAGAAATTGCTGCCCACTAGATGGCGGCGCGCCGTCCTCCCATCCCTCCCGTGGCTTGTTTTCTTTTGCTCACATGACAAGCGATCCCACGACAGCGATTGTGGGGACTGCCGACTACATGACTCGTGCGTGTGAAATACGTGAAGGGTAGAAGGGAAAAGGTCTCTCTCTGAAGGGTGGAGGTGGGCCCGTCCGCAGAGCTAGGCGGCGCGGGCGGGAACCCCCCACTGGGGCCGAGGGTAAGAAGCCGTTTGCTTGTTCTTGACGTCGTTGACCCAATTGGCACGCTCAGGGGAGTGAGTTGACCCAGTTGGTAGGAACGCATCTTATTCTAAAGTTAGAGTTGTTTTGTGTTTGCAATTTCAGAGAGAAGCAATTTCAGCGCATCTTGCGCGCCTGCTTGTCGATGTTGATTGTTGTCGGCGTCGCCCGCCGCCGCCATGGATGGGAGATCTGCTGCGTGTGGTGGGACGACAAAGGAGGTCGAAAAGGAGGAGGCGCTCGCCGACGCCGCCCCATACACCGCCCCGGTCCGTGTTGGTGCCCACCACTTCCTTGGGCTTGGCGAACACGTACGTGGACTTGCACCGCGCCGAGGCGCGCCTCCGCCTGCTCCGGAAGCGGCACCACGTTGGTGAGCGCGAGCGCGCTTCCCGCGTGGCTTACTGTCGTAGCCTAAAGTCTGGGCAGGTTGTCGGGATCACGATCCCGAGCGATCCCGGCGTGAACACGACTAACTGACGGATCCGTCCCTGACAGTGGCATGCGCCGCGCTGTGGCGCGTGCCACTGTCTTTGTTTGAAGTTAAAAGTCGAATCAGAGCGCCGTCGGCGCTGATCCCCGATTTCCTCCCCCGGCCCCCCCGTCCGGGACCGCTCCGGGACGCACGCCGGCGAAGCACCATCAAGCTGATGCACGGCCCCGGCATCGCCTCCCCAGGCTTAGCTAGAGTGAGAGATATTGTGCACATGGTCTGTCTCTACAATATACTCACTGACACTGAACCTCCCAACCTGTTCACACTTCCTGTTCACACCTAAAGCCTGGGAGTCTGGGCAGCTTAGCTAGAATGAGAGATATTGTGCACATGGTTAGTCTCTACAATACACTCACTGACACTGAACCTCCCAGAGCTCGTCCTGGTCCGCCACGGCCATCCTCGGCCTCCGGCGGGCCCCCGGCCGCGGCGCGGTGCGGCGGCGTCACAAATCCGACCACAGAGCACCGGGACGCGGTCGGGCGATCTAAGGCCCAGTGAGGCGTATGCATTGCCCATCCAGGGCTATCACCTGGACCTATCAACAGGCGCCTGCGGCGCCGTGCTCAGGAGCTGCTGCTCCAACCTGTTCACACTTCCGTACGGCACAGTAATCGCGCATTTCTCGCAACCTCGACGCTGCAGTACGAAGGGCATTCTGCAGTTGGCCAGACGCTCGGCATCGGGTTACGGGCAAGAGAGCCCTAAGCACGGTGCTCAAGACGCCAGCATGGTGCTCCATCGACAGTCCCTGCCTACGACCCGCGTGCCGCTGCTCTTCGCGCTCTCCATGGCGCGGCCTGCCGTGCGCCGCCAGCGCCTGGTGAGCGCGGCGATGGCTGCGCCGGCGCGCGAGGGCTACGCCTCGCCCTTCTTGTCGGGCAAGGGCAACGACGACTTTGTCGTGCGCAATGACCGGAACGACGTGCGCGTGCTGCAGTGCCCGACTCCGCCGGTGCTGCGGCAGGGGATCGCGGAGACGGCCGGCCTGCCTCACATCTGCGTGGCGGGCGAGTCCAACGCGGGCAAGTCTAGCCTGATCAACCACCTGCTCAAGAAGAAGCTGGCCAAGGCGTCTTCGGTGGCGGGCAAGACGCGCTCGGTGGACCTGATGCTCGTCAACGGGCGGCTCGTGCTCGCCGACCTGCCAGGGCTGCCCTCGCGCGACCACCAGGCCCACGGCGCCCACCCTGCCGGCAACCCTCTGCACCCGTCCACCTCGCACCGCCTCGGCCACACCTCGCAAGCCCCGGGGGTGGCGCGGCGGGCCGAGCGTGCGCGCCGCGCCTCGCGCCAGGTCGAACGGCTGTGGCGCTCCACCTGGGAGCCGCTCGTCGCCTCGTACGTGCGCGAGTGCGAGCCGCTCCGCGCGATGCTGTACGCTCACGACATCCGCTGGAAGGTCACCCCGCTGGTCCGCTCCTTCCTGCAGGACGTGCAGGCGCGGCGGCGGGCGGGCGGCCGCGTCGGCGCGTGTCGCGGCCCCCTCCCTCCCCACACGCCGCGGCGCCTCTTCCCCTCGCAGGCCTCAGGCCTGCCCGTCGTGCTCGTGCTGACAAAGGACGACCGGATCGCGGACGAGGCGGACGACCGCCCAAGCGAGGCGCGGAGGCGGCTCAAGCTGACGCAGGCGGTGCGCCGCTCGCTCGACTTCCGAGGCCTCCACTTCCACTACTCGACCGAGTCCTCCCTCCCCTCCAGCCGCAGAGGCAGGCGAGCGCACAGACGCGCCGCCGTCCGCGCCGCCGCCCGCCCGCCCGCCCCGCCCGCCTCGCGACCGCCTCGCGACCGCCCCGCGACCGCCCCGCGCGGCCTCCGCAGGCGGCAGCTGCTCTCACTCATCGAGGACCTCATTGGCGAGCCCGGCGGCCGGGAAGAGTGCCGCAGGCTACTCGAGGCGCGCGCCGCCAAGAAGCAGGGCAGGGCGGAGCAGGACTAGCCCTAGTAGCCGCGCCGGCTGTACGTCTCGAGACGGACGGACGGGAGTTTAGGCCCGCAATCGAGTCCGCGCCTACAGGGTTCTTTTGAGTGGACTCTTCCGGCCGTCAGGGCTCAGGGCATAGGGCCGCTGTGACAGGTGTGGGTGGGCGTGTGACGGGGGCTGGGGGCGTGAGGGGGCCCCGGCGCCCGCGGCCCGGCGCCCGGCTCGTCGTTCGCTTCGGCCTCTCCGTCGGGGGACGGGTGTTGAAGCTTGAACGTTGAAGCGGCGAAGTGGGGTATAGTGGGGGCGCGCGCCGTTAAATCGGCGTCTCCCGCATGTCCTCGCCCCAAGCGGTCCTGAGGTGCTCTGAGAAGTTGGTACATGTCATATTGCGTGGCCACGAAAGATATACACATTCGAGCACACCACAGCGCTGCGCATATTCGGGACCGTCTCAGCAGAAGGAAAACGACAAGGTCAACGCATGCAGGCATGGCATGCAGGCATGTGCCCACCGCGAGCCCACCCCGAACGTCGAGCGCGCCGGCGGCCAATCGGCCGACCCGAGTGCGAAAGAGACGGACGGGAGTAGGCCAACAGACCCCCTGTCGAGCCGGCCAGAGGCGCATTTTACAGTTCCCATCAGCAGCCGCGGTCACGCGTCTACGAGGCCTGGCGCTTGGCCAGGTACTCGGCGAAGGACTCGGCCTTGTGGATGGCCTGCTGCTTGCCCTTCGGGTCGTTGGGGTCGATCTCAGTCGGCTCAGGGTCGCGCGTCGCCTCGCCGCCGCCAAAGCCCTTGCCGCCCTCGCTCATCAGCACCTTGGACACGCCGACCTTGGACGGCATGGCCACCGGCGCCATGAGCGCGGACGCGAGCGCGAGGCAGAGGGCGATCAGGAGGAAGCGGAACATGGTCTGCAGGGGTGGGGTGCGGCGGGTCGGCGCTGCGCAGAGAGCTTCACTCAGCGCGGTGTGGTGAGAGCGAAATGCTCGGTGGAGTGCGCATGGCGCGCGCGGGGCGGCGAGGCGCCGCGGCCCCGCGCGCGGAGCGAGATGCGGCCACCGGCAGCGAGCGGAGGGCGAGGCGAGATCTGGCGGCATCGGCACCTGAGCTTTGTGGTCGAGGTGTTGCGAGGTTCACAAATCTTCTCGAGCAAAAGAAATAGCGCGCCGCACAAAACCCATCCCTCCTTTGGGTTGTAAGGAGAGGAGTGTGGTGTGGGGAAGAGACGAGCCGGGCCGCTCACAAAACCCCAGGCCCGAAATCGCACGCCAGGACCGTGACTGACATCCAGACATGCAAGTCAGACAACAGTCAACACACGGCAAGACCGTCTCTCTCTCACGGGAAGACGACGAGAGACTCTCTCACCCGCGGGACGTGTGCACATGCACATGCACATGCAACATGTGCATGTGAATGTGATTGAATTGGTACGATGTCGTGTTAGGGAGAGAGAGAGCTAAAGAACAGCTGCCGGCCGGCTGTATATACTGGACACCAGCGACCAGGCCTCCAGGGGCGGTAAGTGGGTGGACGGAAGAGACGTAGGCCCCGCTGTTAAACCAGCTCGGGCGATTTGTTTTGCTGGCCGCGCATCCGAGCGAGCGATGCTGTTCGCAGGCTTCGCGGCTCGGCTCGCGGTCGCGCGCTGCGGCGGCTGACGATGCAGGCCGCGCAGCCGCCCGGGGAGTGGCAGCCTCGAGCTTTAGTAAGCCTAGCAGCAAGCAAAGGCGGCCGGCGGTGGGCTCGAGGCGGTGGGTCGGTGGGGCGAGGGGGGGGGGGTATGGTACTGCAGGTGGATGGACCCTGGGTCTGTCAGGGGGGGGGGGGGG